GTCCATATAGAATCACCTGGTACCTTTGCTGACCAGTGAGTTATTAATCACCATTGCCAGCAAGTAAGTCTTATTTTTAATTGTGACAAAATTCCTTATTCCGTTATTCACCGGTTCATTCAGTATCTCTACTGCACAAGGCTGAATAGTGGTCTTTATCTATAGTTAAGTCACCAAAAATATATTATTTTGATATATAATTGGCTCCACACCCACAAAAAAGTGACCAGGTAAAGGACACTGTTCAAAATTCCCTTAGAATGGATGAATTGTTCTTCTGATTATGAAAGACCAATGAATGGCCAGGAGAATCACGCCGCAGCAGCAGTATGACTGCAAAGCCATTTTCTTGCAGTTGTGCTTGCCTGTCAGCCAAGTGCAGTGAAGGTTTGGGGGTGGGGGGTGCTAGGGGAGGGCACCAAGCCACAGAGTCAAAGTATCAAAAACCTCTCAGTGGAACTGCCAGGTCAGCCCAGGTAGGATTAACCTATCCAAATCTTAATCTGAACTGCACTGATTGCTGAGTGTGGCTGCATCTGTTTTAGCAGTGTGTGAGTTTGACAGGATTTCTGTGTTTATTACATTAGCTACACTTGCTCAGTCCACCCTGATGTCTATTTTAGGACCCGTTATAATATTACTCTGCGCCTTGCACACTTTCATTGCAACGGTCTCGTCCCGTCCACTGCCACAGTATCAATGAGAGAAGAACGAATTTATGATCAATGCTGCAAAGCAATCGTGTCTGCGATAGGTGAGATGATTATATATGTGAGTAGAGGAGACAATAAACGGTTGCTTTTATGGGTAAAAAGACGTGTTTTTAAATGCATGTCACTTTTTTATTCATAATTTTTTTGTGGTAATATAACAGGTGTCCAGAAAAATAAACAAATGAATGGGTATTTTTACCTGATGGAGAAGGAAGTTGACTGTGTACAGTACAAACATGGAGGATCTCAAGATCATTTTTTATGTCCATATATGTACGAGGCAAGGGCAGGAGTGACAATCACACAGACGATTTAAAAAGTAAATCGCCTTCCCGTTATTTATCTTAGGATTTTACAAAGTAAAGCACACTTATTAAAAACATCTTCGTAGGGATTTGATTTACTGGCAAACAGTTGCATTTCTCCAACCGCCGTTAGTTATACATTACCTAACCAACAACAACTACTGAATGAATTCACATAATATATCTGAACCATGATTTCTGTTCTCTTATTATTATTCTCATAACTATTTTTGGTTTGAATAATCATACATGTTTTTAGTGTATCATTATTAATTTTTGTGCCTGTGTTATGGCCGTATGTATACTGTGGCAGTACACAGTACATTCAGTTCTGCTATTTACCTGCCCTGTATACGCCCTGCCTCTCAGGGCATTGTTTCGCTTAGTCACAATGCTGATGTCACTGGAGTAAGGGTCGGCTGAGCAGGCAAAGATATTTCATACCACATGAAATCGGTCTTCTCATACTTTCCCTATTGTGTGTTCATACTTTTACGCAATAAAATACGTACGCTGGTGGCCAAAATTGTGCAAACACTTACAATTTTTAGAAATTGCAGAACTTAATTCCAGTTACTCCAGTTACGTATTTATTCATCCAATGTATGATATTTGTAAACATTCGTTGTTTATAAATATTACCACCAGTATTCATGCAGTGATTTTTAAAGCACATTGTAATGCCAAAAATGCTGGGTGTTCCCACAATATTGGTCCCCAGTGAGCACACATGTCAAATATTTAAATTTTATAAAATTAGCTCTTTATAAAGATCATTTATAGAGGGACTGAGAATGATTTGATTTTGTTCCAACAGCTTGGGTTGTGTGGGAGACCAACTCAGTCCTTCTTCCCCTGTGTGGCACAGCTAATTTTGGCGCGATCCTTTTCAGACATGCAGCCTTTAAAGAAAACTAAGGAGGTAAGTTGCAAGCAGGTAGGGGAGACACTGGAACTGGAGTGAGATGAGCACTCTTTGACCCAGTGGCTGGGACCCCGCAGAGATCTCCAAATACGTGCCTTTGCTTAAAGCACAGCTGAGCTCACTTCTTATTCAATTTGATGCCAGGATGTGCACTGTGATTTGTTTCACAGCTTAAACCAATTACAGGCTTCCGTGTGCTCATTGTGCGTAAGCTTGACTTTCCTTCAGCCATAATGGGATTTCATAGACAGGGCTTATTCATAGGACTAAGTCAGATACGGGCAAATCATCTTGACAAATTCCATTGCACGTAGAACTTTGCATCTCTGATGTGTTCATTCTCGCACCACAGGGTCCATCAACTCCTAAGCCAGTCTCTAAGCAAGCTCCGAAGCAATCATCCAGAGATGGTGCCTTTTCCTCTCATTACATGTTTCCACCACATCATTCTGTTCCTACACAGTTCTCGTCCTCACTGTAATAGTTCTTTGCTGTATTACAGTAACCATGCCTATCTAGCACCTATTTATTTAATGACCACCGGATCATCTTACTCTTCATTGGTTTATTTTTGGATGCAGCCACTCTTCCGTTTTGAGCACGTCTCTGTCCACAGTGGTGCCAGTTCGTCGTCCATCACCTGTCCAGAGCGTGAGCGAGGAGGAGGACCCGTGGTTTGGAATCACACTAAATGGCTGCCTGTTGGTGGCAGTTGTCATCTTAGTGATTAGCTCGAGTATCCAGTGTGTCAATGGTGAGTAAGTGTGCGGTCATGTGTCACTTGTTCTTAGAAGTGATAATTAAATACAAAAAAACCTAGAAGTTGTGTTCTAACTTTAGGTGTTCTACATCAAATATGTACAAATAGTAGCACTTTTTCTGAACATTTCTGTACTCTGGACTCATCTTAGTTTGCGGTGATCTTACATTCTGCAAGAACCATTACATATTTAATATTTCAAACAGTATTTTGCAAATCTGTACACAAGCATACATACTAATCGTGAAAAGCGGTCGGCTCCTATGACAAATGATGCATGACCTCAAATGCCTGTTCATTTTCAGAGGCTCTGGAGCCCCTCCGGTGGGAAGAGAATGAAGCAGGCCTCCTAAACGGAAACCATGACATAACTCCAGACAGCACAGAAGAACAGGTGCCATCTGTTTCTCTGTTTGACTGCATGTGGTTCCCTGATGGTGGAATGAGCTGCCAAACCACAATAGACTCCATCTCTACCTTCAAGAAAAACCTCAACAATCATCTGATCCATGAATTCTTCTATTAGCCTGATTCCTCTTTAGATTTCCTGGATGTTTTCTTGTTACAGTTCTGGTCCTTGAATGTTTTTTAGGTTCCTGCTTTGCTAGAAGTTGTTGTGTTGCTCCTGCTCTTATCCTGCTTACACTCATACCTGGGTGTTCATTGTAACCTCAGTCTAGCTGCACTTTTGCCTAGTTGACTCCTCGACAGCATATATGTTTGCAATGTGCTATTTGCCTCACTTGTACGTCACTTTTGAAAGAAAGAAAAAAAAAGTATCATCTAAACATAAAAATTTAATGTATAATGTCTGAGTCATCCTGTAGGAGACACTGTAACAAAGTACAGAGTAAAACCACAGCTGGTGAGAATATTGTGTATCTGTCTACTCAGTGACGTTCCATTGTTTCTGTCTCCCAGCATGAGAGTTCAATGTGGAACAGTCTGTTCTGGTGGAACAGGGCATCAGACGATAACGACGATGACGCCGAAGAAGAGGAACGACCGAGGAAGCGGCGGGCTACGGAGAAGGGACCTTCGCATGGAGAATTTGTGAGGGTGAGACACCGGGACAGGCCTCGGAAAGGCCTCACTTTTGAAAACGAGGACGATGAAATTATAGAGAAAAGAGGCAAAGAAAGGAGGGGGGGCAGACTGGGTGAAAAAGAGGGTGAGGAGGCAAGAGGCAAAAGAGACAGGAGGAGAGATGAGTGAGCGACATCACTCTCAGGAGGACGTGGGCAAGAACATTATGGCATCTAGATGAGAAAGAAACTAGACTCACTCCTCCCTCATATTTAGTGTGAATCTTTATTATCGTCTCCTCTAGCTGACTTTTGAATCTATTCAAAAATTATTTAGCTTTATAGCTACCATGATATTTTACAGGAGGCATTTACATTAGGTACATTGCTTTAAAATCTACAACAGGGCACAAAACAGAACTAAAATATACGTACTCATTATGACATTGCATAATAACATGATAAATATGGTTTGATTTAAAAATTACAATATACCGATGAACAGATCAGAGGAAATGGGTGATATATTTCATTGTAGCTTCCTGAATGCCAGGCTGGTATGGAAGTTTTTTTTTTTTATAAGTTTCTAAAATGATTTATTTATGAAAATTTTACTCATTTTATGATATATTTTCTGGCCTCAGATAATTAACTCCTGGTTTACTTGAGACTTCAAACAAACTGAATACAATGTAGGGTAGATGAGAACTAAATAACGAAGTTCTCACTTGTGTCTGAGCTGCTTGTACAAAAATAAGATGAAATTATGAGATGATCAGAAAAGATGAAAAACACATAAAGTTGATGTTGCTGTAGGTGTTCTCAGAAATATATACCTCATGAGGACCACATTATCCCAGATACACTCACAGTCGCTGATTATATGATCGTGGTTCCTTTGGGTTCAGATGCCAGAAGATTTGCCAGATTTCTTGACTTTCCACCACTGATTGACATTGGACCAGTGAATAAGCATTAGTCCAGACGTATCATCAGTAGCAAGACACCTGGATTTTGAACTAACTTCAGTACATTTTGTGTACTCATATGTACATGTGTGGACATACGTACTCATACATTATCTACAGCATGACGACTCACATTTCAACTTGAAAAGTTCCATGGTTCTAAAACTGTATTTGACTGAATCCTAAACAACGTGAGTGGAAAGAAAGCCTGACATCACATTTGCTTGAAAATATTGGTCAACTATGTCTTTGAGGTTTGGTATTGATAATGATGTTAAAATAATGTGTACTGTTTACTAGGGATTGAATACATTGTATTTCTAAAAAAAACTTGTTCCATTGAGATGTTTACAAAGACAATAAATACAAAAACAGTCTTTTTTGTTTGTTTGTTTGTTTTCATTCATTCTTTCTTCATAGAGTCAAAGAAATTTTTTTTGTTTCAAAATACAGATGATAACTGTCAATCCACAGTATGACACCATGAACCAGCTAACAAAAGCAAACACCTTTGAATAACCCATGAACTAGTTACAAGCGCAGATGCCTAGAAAGTGTTACAGGTTTGCCAACTCTGTTCAGCTGGTTGAAGTGAGAATTTCAGTTCAACACCAATCTGCACACACATGCACGTGAATTTACATGTATGCAATAGTTTTATTGCCTTGTAAATAGTCTGTAGGGTTTGCACATTACCCCAATGCTTGTGATGTCGCTAATTTTAGCTTTTGTAATGGAATATTATAGATTTGCCATAAGATTTCTTGCATGAGAGTCTGAAAGCTTGTCACACCGGATGACTGAGAGTTGGCAACCCTGGTGTTACATGCACACAGTGTGAGCAACAGTATAATGCAACAGTATAATGTAACAGTATAATGTAACATGCTGTATGCTCTGTAGGGATGGTATACAGCAGTGTTTCCCAAACCGGATTGGGTTCATGAGCTAAGCATCTGAGCATTTGTACCTGGACTGAGGACCCATTGCTGGTCTCAGCGACAGCCACACTCTTTGGCCACCATGTTGGGCTTGAAGTGGATGAGGGTGCCGTTGGAGTCCAGCTCGGCCACCTGCAGGTCCTCGTACTCCTCGGGCACGCAGCAGGGGGTGCGCTCCAGGGGCTGTTTACTGCCAAAGCTGTTCAGCAGCATGGCGTGGTTCGTGCCTTTAAATATGGGCATGCTGCAGGATCCCTGGCAATTGTTGATGGTGAGGGTGGGTGGGCTCAGTAGGGGTGCCAGCACCGGCACCGTGAGGGGGTGCAGTCGGCACTTTGCCCCCCTCCCGTGTTCTTCTTCACCCCCACGAGCTGCCCGTTCCCCCCTTGCACCCTCCCATGCTCCCAGGACTGTCTGGAGAGCCTTGAGGAGCAGCACAGCACGATACTGTCTTTCTCTGGAGTTACCCACACCTACAAAAGGAGAAAACGAAAGTCTGTATTGATGTCATGCGCTGTAACTAAAGTAAAACTCAATAGTCTTTTGTCTAATACTGGTTATGCACCATTGGAAATTTCCATTTTGCTGTTGGATGTGCGAGGGTGTGGCACCTGTGCCTGTGATCGGAAAGTTGACGGATCAAGCCATGTGACTATTCAGTGGAATAGTCTTGAATTCAGTGGAATAGTCTTGAATTCAGTGGAATAGTCACATGTCTGTGGGCCCTTAAGTCCCATGGGCACCATGGCAGGTGACTGCCATTCACGTTCTCAGAATTTCGAGATCAGTGTCGACACACAGTGCCCGGGGAGCAGTGCTTGGGGGTGGTACCTTGCTGGTCGGGGATTCGAACCAGCAATCTTTCAATTACAAGGGCACTTCCCTGACCATTGAGTCACCACTGCCCCTCTCACCTGTATACTCATCCATGTGTGTGGTGGAGATCAAGATGGGGTAGGTGAAAAGAGAATTTCCCCACGGGCATCAACAAAGTGTCATTATTATTTCCATCCAACCATCTTCACCACTTATCCTGTTCAGGGGCATGGGTAACCTGAGGGGTGTTCCACCAAGCAAGATATTTTGCATAGCCTGATGATTTGTTCAATTTAAGGTAGTCTGAGATAAATTTATCTTCATTCACTTGCATTTAGCCCAGACTACCTCAAATCCAACAAGTTATCTGGCTAAGAAAGAAATCCTGTTTCGTGAAACATCCCTCTAGAGTCCATCTCAGGCAACACAGGGCACAAGCCTGAAGTACACCTCGGATGGCATGCTAGGTCTCCAATGTTCTGCTGGAGAATATTTTGTAGCATTTTCTAGGTGTTTGGGAACAAGGATCGGTGTTTCTTCTCACCCTCAGGCGGTTCTTCCTCCTCCCCCGGAAGCTGGCTCAGCTTCTGCAGCCTCTGAAGCTGCTTCGTCACATTGGGCCCCCTCACCTCATCTGAACGGATCTGGGCCGCGGCCTGCACCAGCCGCTCTTTGAGGACCGTCAGCAGATGGGGCTGCATGGGCAGCTCCACCCGGTGGCCCCTGAGCTGGGATGTTTGGGGAGGGAATGAGAAGAGCGTGGGGGTGGAGGAGGTGAGAAGGCCTAGGAGGAGGGGCTCGCTGGAGGACGATCCCAGGGTCATAGAGGGCAGGGAGCGCAGGGTGTTTAGGGAGACGGGGGCAGCGCGAACGGGGGCAGGCGACAGCAGCGCGTGGGACAGGGCCTCTCCCAGGAATGCCTGCAGCTCGCAGAGGAAAAGGAATGTTTCAGAGACGGGTGGGGGGCGTGTCTCCAGCGGTTCTGGGGGGCGTGTCTCCAGCGGTTCTGGGGGGCGTGTCTCCAGCGGTTCCCTGCAGAAACACAGCAGTACACATGATCGCATGATCCACAAGCGTGTCTTGATGAGTATCTCTCACTGAAATTCCATATGGAAGAATAATTCACAACAAAATCATAGCATTCCATAAACAGATAACATAACATGGTTACATTACAAGTAACATAAATATTCCTGAAAAACCCTATAGACTTGTGTTATCATAGGAAATCCCGTTTGATGCCCTTTGAGTCTTGCCCATTTAAAGACTCAGAGAACCTTCTGTATGACTGTATTCCATCGACAGGCTTACTTAGTCTATCACAGAACGTTCCATATAGTGGTATTATTTTCCACCTGCGGCCTTACCTGATCTCAGGAGCATCCAGCTTGTCTGGCATGTCATTCCCCCCCCTGTCTGCGTAGAGAAGCAGCAGGGGACTCAGAGTTCTGTTGAGTCCTTGTCCCCCCCCCAGAAGGATTCCTGGCAGCTCGGGCAGCTGGGAGCCTGCAGGGCGGCAACTCCCTGTCATGCATGCAAATTAAAAATTGCAAGTGGAAACCGCATCGGAAACACATTTGGGCTCACCATTATCAGCCTGGGTTGTTTCCATGGTAACCCGCCACAGTGGGTGACTCTGGGCATCACTCTCTGTCAGTCTTCCAGTAAGGAAAATAAACTGTGTCCCTGTCGACAGGCATGCTGTCTGAGAGAGGAGGAAGGCAGGTTTTTTACTGCACTGAAGAGAATTATATGATGGGAATCAAATGAAGTTTTGATATTAATTACTAGAGCACTCTAGGCTATATGACTAATATAGTTTATAGTGAATAAACTAAAAAACATCAAGTCAGGTGCAGTTTTGTGGCCGAAAGCACTTTGTTAATGAGAGAGCAGAGAGGAGAACGACCAAATTCGTTAAAACTAACAGGCGCAAGTGCAAAACTAACAGCTGAGCACAGCAGTAATGTGCAGAAGGGCTTCTCATCAGCCCCTGGAGTGATTATGGAGCCAAAGGGAGTCTCACCTGGTGCCACGTAGGAGTCACTAATAAAGTGTATATTACACAGAAGCCTAAATGAACACCCTCTCCTGAGTGAATTAAAATCCTGCCTCCAAATGGCTAAACGGGGAAATAATTCATTTAAAGAAGAGGACGCATTGACAGGTATATAAGAGATACCTTGAAACAAATGTTCTAATTTCCTGGCAAATATATATTTAATGAGAAACCCAGGTATTGCCCCTTTTGCAGTACAGTGAAAACATCTAACGCTTTTACGGCAGTTACAGAAGGTCGCCATTAAAAGCAGATTGATAAAAAGTAGATTGATTTAAAAAAAAAAGGTCAGAATGTTAACACAGGACAATGACAGACAAGCAGAAAACTGTAAATTGCACAAACACAGTACAAAGACCAAATTAAATACTTCATAAAATTAGTGTAGATTTCTCAGACAATCTGGTTTTATCTGAAACTGATGTTCTAAACCACATATTGTTCTATCTGAAAGTACTGTTCTTAACCACATATTCTTCTGTTTGAAAGTGCTATTGTCAATCACATATTGTTCTGCATGAATGTGAAACTAAAGCATGTGGTCAAAATGTAGACTTTCGATTTCTAATGCTGTTCATTATAGCTTATGAGCACTTGGCTTGGTGATCATGGAGCCAGCGGGTAGCATCGTTGTCTCGTATCTCTGGGATTTGAGTCCTGCCTGACTCAGTACGCGATTCCTCCTGTAATCCAATGACATGCCATTGGGCAAATCAGCATCCCTAAGTTGTGCAGAGTGTGAGTCTGTGTATATATATGCGCCCTACAATGGTCTGCCACCGTGTCCCCTGCCCAGTGCCTCCTGGGACTGGTTCCAGGCAGCCCATGACCCTCTACTGGATAAATGGTAGTAATACGGGCTAATAAACGGACACCTTAGTTGAGGAACTTTTGTGGTTTCGTTATGTTACATTTAATTATTGCTAGAAATGTTTATTATAATATGTTTATTATAATATACTTTCTCTTGGCTATTCGTAAAACCTGTAGGTTAACCGAGTTGGTGACTAACAGGACAATAATACCAACCAAAGCAGGCTTTAATGAATAATTTCTCACATTACTTCGGGAAGAGACAGCAGTAGAGCAGCGATGAAACCAAGTCAGTACTACATGTACAGCAGCGCCCCCGTTTCCGCGGGTGATCCGGTCCATCCACGGACCCCATATGTAACCCGATTTTCGTTTACATATATATGTTCGAGTTTAATTTATAAATTACGCACAGTAAGACATTACCAATATTAAATGCCTTAATAATATAGTACATTACACATCTTTCTTTCCAGTGAAAGGGATTCTGACGTTTTAGCCTAATTCTCAAGACGACACAGCAATGAAAAAACGTCATGTGGAAGACGGAGCAATGAAAATCGTGCTTTTAATACATTTTTGTAATACAGACACTGAGATAATGTGGCAATGAATGCGACCGGTGTGAAAGCTAGATGCAGACTGGATGAGCGTTCTGCGGGGAAGCGTGGGCACGGCGACAAAGGGAGATGAGTCATGCACTGGGCGCGACTGGGCTGGCGGATTTCACCGTATTACAGCATGTACTCGTTTGGCGCGCGGCTACAAACTTATAAAGCTTGTATTTGTGGAATTTTCCATGTTTTTTTCCAGACCGCAGTGAACCGCAGATACGAGGGTCCCACTGTACTGCGATCGTGTTTAAGGGGCCCCCCTGCCCAGTGTCTCCTGGGCCTGGCTCCAGGCAGCCGATAACCTTGTACTGGATAAATGGTCGTAAGACGGGTTAATAAACTGACCACCTGAGTTAAGGACTACCATTGTTTAGTCATGCTAGATTTAATTATTGCTAGCAATGTTTTTTTTATCTCACACACCTGGTGGTGTCTGCTGGTGACTGGCAGGACAATAACCCCAACCAAGGCAGGCAGGTTTTAATGCCTAATTTCTCACATTACTGCCTTTGGGAATAGACAGCAGTATAGCAGATATGAAACCAAGTCAGTACTAGATACAATCTGACCCAGCACCTAGTTCAATATCCAATCGAGAACAACATTTCAAACCTTTCTATGTTTTTAATGGTCTTACATTGAATGTAAGCAGACGCTTCTATTCAAAGTAATGTGCATGTTTTGAGAAAGCAGGGTCTGACAGCTCCTAAAGGGTTAAGGATGTCATTCAAGGGCATAATGTTGAAACCACTCTGCCAGCCCAGGGATTTGAACCAGCGACCTTCTGGGTCACAGATATGGTACCCCAACCCATTAACCATCATTCACACCAACCAGACTCTGCAAAATAAGCTTTGCTGCAAAACACTGGCTCCGAGTTTATGGATGAGGCCTGACCTGTCGGTAAGGCTGGAGAGAGTGTCCCGTAAAAGAGACACGCAGGCCCTTCCCTTCGACCGAGCCCCACAGATGGAGGAGGAGAACCGGTGAGACTCCGCAGAGCTGGGAGTGCAGGGAAGGAGGCAGCTGGAAGTGAAGGACCAGCCTGCTCCTGTAAGGTTCAGGTCCCTCCGCTTCCCACAGCTCTGTCGGAAAACAGAGACACTGGCCATTGGCGTCTCGCCACTCATCATTCTATTCCTGAAAACCGATTTCATCATCTGTCAATCATAAAGGTAAATAAAAACATGAACAAATGTATCATAAATCAGTCCCTGTCATCTATCCACTTTTGGATAGAATCAAGTAACAGAATAAAGGAAGACGGGAAAGGCACATGCTACTTGATAGCACTACAGGAAGATGGCCAAATTTAACCGCCATGTTAATAGCTAATGAAAGCTAGAATTACACTTTAAATAGTTGCAGTGTCACACTTGAGCCCTGAGAAACAGGAAAAAAAATGCTGGAATAAGTGAAAAGCGATAGAGATGATTACCTTTAGCAGGGCGTAAAATGTGTAACCTGGATCTCTCTTGCTCTGTTGATAACTTTTTGGCTAACAGAACGAGAGGTAAGATCTGTGCACTGCTCTGTTCCTGCGGGTCGGCACACAGCCCCAGACGGACCCTGTCCTCAGATCCCAGATCAGCCTTTCTTCCCAAGCCTTTGAGAAACGCGACCCTCAGCTCCTTGAGGACGGCTGCCTGATCAGTGCTGGTTGATAGGGGCGGGTGTTCAGGGGCAGACGTTGAGGTTCTCACTGAATCTACAGCCAGGTCCCCTTCCGGCGAGCGAGACGGATGAGCCCACACGCGCCCCACATCCCCCTTGCTCTTCTGCATCCCTCCATCTGCTCCTCCGTCTGCTTCTCCTGTTACACGGAACTGATTCACTAGGGTCAGTATAAGGAAGAGGAGAAATTTAGCTTGACAAGAATATTCCAGAATACCAGATGCTGATGCACAATGGCAGCTTATAGAATTTGATTTCAGGGGATTCTGAGAATAAAAACACCAATATAACTGGGGGAAAGGGGTTTTCAAAGAAGAGGATTACTGCAAATGCAATATATGCTAAATGTATGCATTGAATTATAGATGTCATTACAGAGCAATGCTTCTCTATATTATGTTTATAATAAAGACAATTATTGTTGTCAAGGTCACTGAGACTGCATTCTGCCTATCTTGTGCATTTTCTCGACAAAATTAATGCTTACTCATTTTCTAGCAGGTTGAATACAACTCACTCAACGTCAGTCACCACCAGTGATTCCATTAATTGTTACACAGAAATGCTGAAAGCCAGGACAGCCACTAGGTTAATGCATTTATATTTTTACTAACATTTGTGATATCATAACGTGCAAGTGCATTATTCTTTGCAAGAATGAAAGCTCAAACATGAGCACGTTTATGCATTTTTACAGAGGCAGTTATTTTATGGTATGAAATCATTGTACTTAAAAATGTGGCGACAAGTTTATGACTCAAGTGAAACTTGCTACTGTGTCAGTTTATCTGAAAAAAAAGCTTATATTTCGTAACATTCCATTGTATGCATGTGACATACGGAGCGTATACACTTTTCAATGTAACACAATACCTTGATAAAGCAAATTGTGTGTAGAGAATGATGGCAGAAGGGTTGAAAACAGGGCATATTACAGACCTGGCTTCGAATGCTGCAGCTCTGGGTGCTGCTCCATTCCTGGGTCTGCCTCCATGTGCCTGGGTGGAAGACCAGCCAGTACACAGCGCACGACCAGCATGGCCCTGAGCACGCTCCCCGGCCACATGTCTGCCTCTCCAGTCCACGGCAACGTACACAAGCAGCGTCATGCAGGTCCACGAGGGAGAGGGGTTTTATATCTGCTCTCTTCACAAAATCGGGGGCAGGCTGCAGGTGGAACTACCCAACAATATGTGGCCTTGAAGACATGAAACATATGCTGTTTTCCTTACAGAAGGGCCACCGTGGTGTAAACAGAGGTGCAAACAAGTGCTCTCCAAACAGGGCGGAGAAATGGCTGTTTCTAATAAGCAGAGGGTGAGATAAGGCTGGACAGGAGAGTTTCTCAGCACCCTGTGTGCCAGATCAGAATGACGTGAAATAAACGTGAAATAATCCTTCATTGAAAAAATAAAAACAAAAAAGGTTTCTCCACTCGTTAGCTGGGCGCTAATGAACCGTCACTTAACGTATGACTGCAGTTTGATTCCCCGACAGCACGTCATATGTGGTTTTGAACAAGTATGACGACAGAAGCTTCTAGCACATTCCTTAATAATGACGCATTCTGAAGGGGCTTCTTTTTGTGAAATAGGTGAGCAATTACCTCCACCGGGGAGACAGGTCTAAGCAGACGAAGGCAGCTGCTTCGGCTGCTGCTCATAGGGGTGACATGTGATGCGCAGGACTATGCGCAGCTGGGCTTGACTAACTAACATCTCACTATTTTTTCAAAAGCAACAGAGCAAAAACAATACAAAACACAAGCATGACGAATCTGATTTCCTTGATGGAAGCAAAGGCATGGCTAAATTCCCATTAGCTAGAATTATCTAGTCACCCATGAATCCATCAACACCGTGCAGAGCCTGCAGCCTATCCCTGACAGCGAGGCCAAGGACACCATAGTCCGCAAGAATAAGCAGCACAGACATGTTCCCACTCTGCTGATGCTCAATCCTTATGCTCTTAAAATATATATATAACACAGCACCCACTGCAATTTCATGTACAACTAGTAATTTTATGCAGAAATCTTTATTTTCATAAAATATGAGCATTCTATAAAGTATAAGGGACAACTGTGGTTACGCTGGTGCCCAGTAAACACATACTTTGGGTGAAACGTAGTTTGGAATTTTGTCTTCATTTAGAAATTCCACAGCTGCCGTCTTGTTTAGAAAGCTCAAGGCCTCTTCTGGTTTGTCCGTCAAAGGCTGGAATGAAAAATCTCTCAAAATTGCTGTCTTTACACCACAGCATTCAGGTCTCCTATAACTCATGCCATTTATATGTAAACACACATGTAATGTCCATTAATGTTACAGCCACTCCCATTTAAGATTTGATTAGGGATTTGGCTAAAGATCAACAACTGATTTCCCCAACTGATCTTGGCGCCTAACATCATGCCATCAGCATTTAACACTTAACACGTCAGTAAACCATAAGTGTGAACTACTTGGGTTTTACTCAGACTAAAATACCAAAAGAACCCAAAATGTGAAATGCTTCTAGTGTTTTCATTGGCTTTCTCCAATAAGCTTGAATTCTGTGAAAACAGCTTTAAATGCTATGTACAGAATAGGTTACTTACCTGTAGAACAAATTAATGTAAAATATATATTTTATCCTGCATAACAGGAGAAACATTCCTGACATTTGTTGGTTACAGTTGCACAATTTGAGTCAAATGCAGGGTAGAAACTCATCACAAAGCAGCCGGACCCCCCCCCCCAGCGAAGGACAGGGGCAATTTTCCCACAACTCCCACATCTATTTTAGGTCAAAGCTTGATCTGCACGGAATGTGCTACACTAAGGATTTCACACATTCTGATAACATGTAGGCAAATACTTATTTTTAGACTGCGATTTACCAAACTTTAAAATGCTATTACCCCTTAGTCCCAGTAAAGGTTCACATTGGCTTAAAAATCCACACATAAAAGCAGTTTTAATTAAATACTTTATTAAATTTTAATAGAAAGCTGAGAAAATCCAAAGCATTATTGTCATTAAATTCTCTTCAAAAACAGGAGAAAAAAAGCACCATAACCAGGCATCAAGATACTCCAGAGAAACCCAAAGGTACTTTGAAAAGCAGGTCTGCTTATTTATACATCAAATGTCACAACATTTACAAATAAACATTTCTATGCAAGTTCTGACTAAAGTTTGGATAATGCAGCGTGAGATGGATTGCTTATGTTTTATTACAAAAAAAAAAGCAGGTGAATGTGGGTGGGACTTGTGTGGGCGGGGAAAGGGGGGAGTGCGGGTCCATCCAGGAGATACACCTGCCAATTCAGGCAGCCTGTCAGCTGACAACAGCATCCTGAGCCACAACAAACTGCAGAGACCATGCAAGGAATGTGGAGAGGGACTCGTCTGTTCTGTGCCTTGGAGAACAAACAAACGACACACCTGTATGCCAAGCACTGAGTCTTTGAGTGCGCAAATGACCATAAGCATGCAAGCAGTAGATAAATCTGACTGGATATTAAATAACTTAGCTACAGTAGACAGGCTTGGGTTGACTACAAAACAGGTACCATTAAGGCAAACTGGCCCCCGTTCAGAGCAAAGCAGCACTGCCGATTTGCTGGCTACCTGCGGTCATCGGGAGCCAAGGTCGACCTGAGGAGTGCTGGGTTCACAGTGGGCGTGAGTGAACGGGGGCTGCTTTAGCATAGATTCAGAAATTAGTACAAACTTTTTTGACAAGGTCTACCAAAAAAAGGACCTTGAGAACTTCCTGAGTAAATTTGGTAAAACTGACATCCTACCTTTTGATCAAGGTGTCTGTCTGAATGTTTCTATAAAAGCCCAAGAATCATTGGAAAAAAAGTCCCTTACTTACAATGCTCAGAATACACAGAACATAGAGATAATCTGACATGAAATGTGCTTTAAACTGTGACGCACAGATCATAATTGGTAAGCTATAGAGTTAAAAACAAGAGTAAATTATAGAGCTAGCAGAATGTGTAGACCTGTTGATCAAGCCTGCATTCTTCCTGCTACCTGAGGGGAATGACATGTAACGGCAGGACGCAAATGCACTAATGAAGTCTGAGCAGCCGATAAGTTATTATGAATCAGGTCTCTGGCGTAGACCCTAACCCCCCCGTTTCTCCGCCACTCACACAAGCACCCCAAACAAATTAGGTACGAGTTTTTAAAAAAATAAATAAATAAAAAAAATACAAAAGAAATAAAAAGCTCATTTGTGTCGTAAGTGTTCCGCTCCTTTAGCACAAAAGGAGGTGTATTATTTCATAGCTGCATTTTCCTTACGTTTTGAAGTGTAAGAGAGCACCTTATTATCAAAGTATACTGAAATTCATCTGGTACTTTTATCATAAAACACCACCAGCACCAGCAATTATATCAAACATTGAGGATAAATTATAATCTAATGATTAGAAAATACACCAGTGCCGATAACAGAGGAATAGATTTTTCTGGTCTCGTCCTATTTGAAGAAACCGCAGTGCTCACTTAGGTCAACACATAGACCAAATTATGACGACGTGTGGATCATGGTAAAGCTTGGCTGAGCCTTATTTCCCCTTGAGGACAATTTCCACGTAAACAGAGAGAAACATACAGACAGAATCACATAGTTCCTGTACACCGACACGAGCCCAAATACGCTAGTTGCTCGGTTGCACATGCATGGGAAAATTGGTGTGTTTACCAAAGAGCCATGGGACAGGAGGTCAGTTTAAGGTCTTAGCATGATGACATTTGGTATATGATGCACAGATGTGTTTTATTCCTAGTACTGAAAAGAGCACCTTTTTAACATTTGAAGGCAATGCTTAAAGCTAAAAAGCTTGATACCACCTGGAGAATATTAACCTACAATTCCCTGCAATCGCCAATAGCCCAAGGGGCAGCCCTGCTGACAGAGCGTGCAAAAGACCATCTGGGGGCTATAAAGAGAAGCGACAGCGTAACCGAGCCGAGGAGTTCACCACATCGCCGCCGCCGCCCCCCCCCCCCCAGTTCTGCGTGATGGGTTCTGCCAGGATGTTCATTTGCTCAGCACCAAAAGAAAGCATGGTTTCCTTCGCGAAAACCTTCAGCCAAACTCTCGTCCCATTTGTTGTTCAAGGACAGCGTGCCTTCTGATGTACGTCTAAGTACGAGACCTCATTTCAAAGAGATTTAAGAATTGTCCTGAAAAACAGACAAAGATGTTCTTCTGTTGTACAGTCATATAATAAAAACACACCAAGTGAAAACTTCATGCGTTTAAATAACTCTGTGCCAGGCTCATCAGACAGCTACTTAAACATGCAGTGTCTATTCGCACACTAGACTTTAAATAAAATGTTTTAAAAAAACAAGACTGGTTTCTAACGTATTTTAAATAACACAAAGTACTGCCTTATATGGCATAAAACATCCCTGTGTACAAAAAGCACCAAGAATCAATAATTGCTGTTGTACTGAACGTCATTATAGCATTAGGCACAGTCCAAAGTTATACAAATCATAGCACCATGAGTTTCAGACTGAGCACCACACAGACACTAAGACCTACTGCCCTCAAGTTTCACTAACATTTCAGAAGAAATTAAACTCCAACAACTTCATCACTGGAAAAAAAGGATAAATAGCATAATCTAAATTATAAGCAATTATAGTCTATGGAGAGTAACTCCCCCATTCACAGTACACTTCTCTACAGAAATTACAAAAAAAATAAAAAATATTCGAGTGAAAATTCCCCAGTAGTTAATGTTAGTTCATGAACTTCCCAGTGTAAAAATGTTTTTCTGTGTTTGCTGGTTAGACTAGCTGCAGAAAGCTTGACTACACGTTAGTGGAGTTGATGACAAACACAAATGACAATATTCCCGTGTTACAAAGTTTCCAGCGAAACATTGACCAGAACATGTTTTCTGCTTCAGATACAGGAAAAGGCATAAAATCGACATTAGTGAAGTCTGCCTGAATTCACCACACACGCCACTGAATCCTAAGTTTACAAAATGTAGTTTGCACTTTACAATCCAACATATGCTGGAACAATAAGCCTACCTACAAGACTTGGTCTATAAACATTTAACATAACATACAAAATTCATGAGCTCACATGAGTATCACCCCCCATAAATACGTGGTCCACTGATGTGTGATGCAGGAGGAGGGCTGATTGACATCCATCTGAGAGAAACCTACAGAGCTTAAAAACTACTGGAATTCTTAAACAACTTCATCTACTTTGAAAGCAGTTTTAAACCAAAATTTTACTAAGTCCTACAGTGAGAGCAGAGAACATGTAAAAAATAAGCAGGCAGGTTCGCCTCCAAACCCTGTTAAGAGCCGCACCCTGACTGCCAGACAGCGGGCGCACAGCTGCTGTGCAGCGGTACGACCAGCTCGCGCGCGCAGGCAGGCTGCCATTCCTGACGTGCAGGAGCACGGCCCACAGAGCCCACACAGTTCAGCCAGCAGGAGAATACAAAACACAAGTGAAACGCACAAGTTCACATGGTTTATTATCATCAGTTCTTTATAACTAAATCAACGCAGCTCACAAATTCTGTATTTTTGGTTTATAAACACAAAATTAAAAAAATAAACAAAAACAAAAAAAAAAAAAAAAAACACAACATACTGCTGACTGCACTGCGTCCACACCAGTGGCATTTTGTCAACTACACAGGTACGTTCATCCAGTGTCTCACTGCATTTGCTACCTTGGTCAAGAGGTCGGAGACTGCAATTTAACTGCAGCCGATTATCAAATTTAAAATTAGTATTTACTGTCATTGTGACACAAATGCCACTGGCATGGACACGTTGCCACTGTGGGCGGCCTAGAGAGTGACGAACCGCTGCATGTGGTCTGAATAAAGTGCCCATTCTCTTTATAGCCACTAGGGACCGCCGCACTAAAGGTCACCTGCTGTGATGATCCTGACTGCAGAGAGCGTTAGCATCTCTCGATTCCGGTCTGTTGGTTACACACCCACATGAGAACTCTCAGACTGACGTTAGCGCTCCGCATTAGCATCACGCGGACCCTGCTAAGCCATCCCCATGTGTGTTGAGGGGTCTCACAGAAGGTGCTGTCCCACAACCGGCAAAATTATAAAATATCTTTAAAATTGTACATTAATCAGAAGTTCATGTTAATTATGACCACACCATGACATTTAGCTACAATGATCGGAATTAGCCTCCACTGTTTTTGGGTCATCTTTTGGTTACAGGACAATGCTAAGCAGTACGGAGCTTGGCAATTTAACTATAGTGTACAGTAGCCTAGGAGATGCAATTATTTAACCAGACTGATGATCCTCTAGGCTCCCCATATTGGGAGTGGACCAACAAAACATTTGTTAAAAATGGATAAAAAGGTCCACGATCCTTGGCCATCTTAAGCATGAAAAATAAATAATTTTCTTAAGATCACATAAATTACGTACCAAAACGTCAAGAACTAAAACGACCTGTTTTTAAATAAAGGCTCAATCATAGGCGCCGACCTACTCTTCCTGGACTGACGCGGAGAGCTTCGCTCGTGGCGTCACGCCGTAACCCTTCAGACTCCGCCTCAACACACATGGCGTGGGGGGTGTCCGCCTGGCCTAGGGGTCAGTGCCGGGAGGCGACAGGCCGCGATGGCGAGCCGAGGCGCCCGTGCAGCTCTTCGGTTTGTCTACCCGTGGCGGTGAGATGGCAGCCAGCAGGCTAGCGAGCACCAACAAGAAGAGCCCCTTGGTCCACACCAGTCCATTGCATAGGTTACATTGGGTTGAGGTAGATGGCTTTAGTTACCTGGCACAGAAAAGACAAATACTGTCATGTTAAGAGAAAGGGGGTGGGGTCAGCGACTGCGTGACCTGGTAAAATGATGCAGACATGACATAATCGCCGTCATCATCACCAGCGATACCCACTACTACAGCTACATGGAACATAAACCTGTAACGACACACTCACCTTCAAATCAGACTGATCTGCAGCCTGGGAAACTCGGCACCCCCACTCGCCCCCCCCCCCTCCCCATCCCCACCCGCTCCCTCTCTCCCCCTCTCTCTCCTCCTCGCCCTGGCTCCTATCTGGGCCGAGGACCAGGGTTCTGCGAAGCCGCAAATGATGCTTGCATTCCCAGGGTCCTCCAGGTGCTCCCCGCGCCTCCGACGCTACGGGCATGCGAGGGTGGCGAGGGGGCAGCGGCGGGGTGGTGCACCGTGAAGGAGGGCCGCGCCGTGATGGCAGAGGTGATGATGGGAGTGGAGGAGGAGGAAGGGGGCACGATAGACGAGGAAGCGGCTGAGGGTGCAGGAGCTGAGGAGACCGTGGTTAGGGAGAGGGAAGCAGGGGCTTTCTGGTGGGGGAGAGGGGGGCGTGTGGGCAGGAAGGGCTCCGGCTGAGAGGATGGCGGCTCGGGGGGGGTGACAGAGTGCGAGGACGAGGACGTGAGAAGGGGCGGGGGCGGAGGCAGGGAGAGCGTGGGCGGCGGTGGGGTGCGCAGCACACTGTGAGTGCGAGCGTGCGCCATCTGGGACGCCGGGTGCAGTGGGGACGCGGAGGTCAGGAAGGCGGAGCCCAGTTTGGGGTTACTGTGGTGGTGCTGCTGCTGCTGCTGCTGCTGAGAGGAGGGGGAGAGACTGAGCAGGGAGCCGAGACCCCCAGAGGCTGCCCTGGTGGCCCCAAACTGCCGTGAGGAGACGGAAGGCACCACGTGGTGAAAAATCCCTGTGGATATACAGCGCAGGTGGGGAGAGGGGGAGAGAGAGAGAGAGAGACGGAGAGAGAGGAAGGGAGAGAGAACCAGGAGCTCAGCCAAGGCATAGCAGCAAGCAAGTCATACGGATGAGCACACAGAAAGCAAGCAGGCGCTCCTCTTAAACAGCAGGGGGAGCTGCTGCAACGTCTCGCTTTTAAACTCCCATAATCAGCCAATCAGCTGGCCTAATGTCTAACCCAACTGTGGCCAATCAAAATTGGTCCCTGACGCCTGGGGTGTCACACTTACGTTTCACCAGGTCAGCAGTGCTACAGTGTAGACACAGGACATATGTCCATGTGGGACGTCAATTGCGGCAGAAACACATTACAGCTGCTGCTTTTTGATCTATCATCACATGTCAGACGTCAACAGAGAACATGACGCTAAACGGAGTGAAGTGGAAGTAAACTACATCACTGCACGACTGCTTAAGAGGTCACAAATGTAGACAGTCATGGACACCAGGCCTCCTCACACAGTATCCTTTAAGACCGTGTTTGCCAACCCGATCCTCGGGGATGCCCCAGACAGTCCATGTTTTTGCTGCCTGCAAGCTGGGAGGGAGCAAAAACATGGACTGTCTGGGGCGTCCCAGCGGATCGGGTTGGCAAACAGTGCTTTAGGGTGACTACAGACCAGATCAGCTCAACTGACACCACCCTTCAGAGAAGCAGACTCAAATAGGGTGGTCAGGGCTGGTTTTGGAGGACGCGCTTCATTTTCCAAATGGTGATATGGATTTGGTTTAAACAGTGGAAGGCATGGTATTCAGTGAAACATGTTGGCATTAAAAACAATATTACAAAGACAAATGCCCCAAGAAAATGACACAGGTGCAAAGTGAAAAATCTCTGAGCTATTTTGTTTAAAAGACTTACATTAAAAATACATTAAAATCTCCACGACAGTGGAAAAAAAGTATTTGTTGAACAGAAAGGCATTTGAAAAATTCTCTGTTGACATATGGTGTGCCCACACAGAATGGCTGAAGGGCACCCCCTAGTTCAGCGATGCTGGAAACACCAGTAATGTCCCCATTTATTTCCAACTGGTTGCAGAGTCCATACCTATAGATATGAGGGTGAGGACCGTAGGCTGGGGGCTGTTCCACTGCAAGCCTAAACTTGTGCCATTTTCTCAAGGTACGCAGCTGTGCTTGTCACCAAACCAGCCAATCGAGAAGCAAGCAGTGAGGGGAAGCCAGGCATCGTTGCCAGACATCACTTACCTCGCCCAGCTGGGGGCCTTCCAGAAAAAGCCCCAGATTCCCCATACCTTTGCACTCAGATGCCTACAGACGCCAGCGGCTCCCAGCTATAGCTGGGCGACCAGAGAGCGGCGGAGAAGATGGAGCGGCCCGTGTGAAAGACTCACCTCCTGCTGCTCCACCCGCCAGACCTGTGCTGGAGAAGGTTCCCAGGGAAGAGTGTCCGTTCACGAGCCGTGGGGCCCCCGTGACTGCCGGAGCGGGCGTCTGGGACCCGAATGGTGACTGGAGCACCGACGTCCCGCCGAGGGGAAACTGAGTCCCCAGGTACTGCCCTACGGAGGCCCCGGGGCCACCGGCCGTCACAGGGTTACCCACTTTGCCGGTTAAGATGCCACTGTTGGCGGCGGCCGAGATGAAGAGGTTCTCAGTGCCCAGGCTGGCGGGGGCCTTCAGATCCCACTCCCGTGGCTTCTGCTTGGGCTGCCTCTCTGCCGCCGGCCCCCCCGGACGGCCCCCAGCCTCCTGGCTGAGGAATGGGTTGTGACTCAGGTAGGGTGGTGCCGTTGGGTGAGTCTGGCCGCACACGGAGTCGAGGACCCCCCCCTCCCCCCTCCTCTGCTGCTGCTGCTGTTTGTGGTCAGAGTCAGAATCGGTACCCGCCGTGCCCCCCCGGGTACCGCCAATGCTGAAGGGGGAGCCCCCCTGTCGTAGGTCAGGCGGGGGCTGCTTAGGATCCGAGATCGGGGAGAAGGTGGATTTCCACTTGCTGGAGGACGTCGAGGAAGATGAAGAGGAGACGGCCTCATTGGCCAAGCTGTTCACAGTGCTGGAAGCCGACTTCCGGCCCAATCCGGCACCTAAGCACAGTTCGGCACGTTGGTACCTTAGCTTGTCAAATAACCAACTAGCCAGCATTTATAAAAACATAATAATCCTATTATTTACAATCCATCAGATCTGGTGACGACGCTTGACAGTACAAAGCAAGACACAGCAAAGGTACATGCAGTTAGCAGTAAACTCACCCCGGTCATTTTCTCCTGCTTTAATTGGGCCGTCTCCACTCTCCAGGGAAATGGCAGCAATTTTCCTCTGGATTCTAAAACACATCATTAAATAAATGCCAGGATGACCACCATGCACTCTCAAGAACCGAAGAGGCTCTCACACAGCGGAGATGACAGATGCTGCGACCATATTGGGGTGTGTCGCCTGCCTTTCCTGCACTGATTATCAACTCGAAAGCACTGCCGTGGAAACAAGTGTTGTGCCGTGCTTGGGTGCAGACTGATGTAGACAGAGAGGCCATCTCCACGGCGACACTGTACCGGGAACTGGAGGAGTCCACGGGGTAACTGGCATCCTCATCATCAGAGCTGGCAGGCGAGGAGAAGTGGCTGGAGCCGTTGAGGTCTAGGGGTCGCTCCCGCTTCAGCACAGGAGGTTGGTCCAGGTCGGGCTCGCAGGGGCTGCGTGCAGACTGCTCTGGGGAGGAGATGGCTGCTATCTCCAGGGGCTGATTTATGTTGCTCACCTGTCAGGCAGAGCACAGGGTACGACAGGCTCACACACGTTGTCGGCAAACGAACACGATGTTCTCCTTCGAGGATGACAGCGCCTCAAGTGGCAGCTCACCATGGAGGTGATGTTCAGCGGGGAGCCTGAGGGGTGGCTGCTGTTGCCGAGGCCAGAGAAAAAACGCCTCTTGGGGGAGCCGGAGGCGGGGAGCGCGCCGCTGGTGGAGCTGCGCTTCCTCCTGCCCCGCCTGCGGGCTTCCTGGGGACCTGGCGAGTGCCGCTGGCCGCCCTGGTGGTGGTGGTAGTGATGGTGGTGGCTTGGCTTGCCGGTGCCGTGGTGCTGCCTGGAGACGGCTCCGCCGGAGGAGGAGGAAGAGGATGATGAAGACGATGACGAGGAAAAGAATATGCTGCGCTTGGCCTCGCCATCCAGGAGCTCGGGGTCCGACTCGCCCTGCCTGACCGGACCTCCCTCGGGAAGGATTCTGGGGGGGCCGTCTGCATACTGCAGGACCCCCCCGGTGCTGAGCGGAGGACTGAAGCCAGGCCCACGACCTGGCAGCCCAGCCAGGGTGGTGATGTGCTGTGGGGGTGAAGGTGATGCAGAGTCCTGATCCAGGAAGGTGCAGTGGGAGTTGCCGTTCAGCCCTGAAGGGGAAAAGGGGAGGTTTTACTGGAGAAGTACAGTACCAAGGCTCCGGGGTCCATGGTAACATACCAGGCACTTACCTGAGGTAGGTGTGTGGGGCTGCTTTCCGTTACTCTGAATCAGTTTCTCCAGCAACGCTGGGTCCCGGGCCTGAGACACTGGACTCGGGGTGCTCCTCTAAAACCAGCCAATAGGATTGAGGAGCTTCAGTGATAGGACCACACAGATGAAAACCAGGCAATAGGAAGCTGTGAGCTTCGGCAACCAGGCTATACAAAGGAAAATTTGCCAAAATGAAGCAGCAAGTTTCGGTGACGAGGTTGCACATAGGGAAACCAGCCAACAGGAGACTGCGAGCTTCAGTGACTGGGCCGCAAAGGGAAACCAGCCAACAGGACACTGTGAGGTTCAGTGACTGGGACGCAAAGGGAAACCAGCCAATAGGAAGCTGCGAGCTTCAGTGACTTGGCTGCAAAGGGAAACCAGCCAATAGGAAGCTGCGAGCTTCAGTGACTGGGCCGCAAAGGGCAACCAGCCAATAGGAAACTGCGAGCTTCAGTGACTGGGCCGCAAAGGGCAACCAGCCAAGAAGCAGCAAGCGGCAACACCTCCACAGATCAGAGCCTCTCCCACGGGCCAACGGCAAGAGCGATGAACTCACCAGTCTCTCAGCCCGGTTGGGCAGCACCACGCTGGCCAGGGGGATGCTGACGGGTAGCTTGCTGGGGTGTACGGTGCTGAGGGGGATGCTAATGGGCAGACTGGTGATGGTGTCACCGGAGGTGGTGGGGCTCTTCTCCTTGCATGCCTGGGTGTGACACTAGGCGTTCATTTTTGGATTCGCGTCAGTCAAACAGCGTAAATTCTCGGGAAGAGAGAGTGGCATGAAAGCTGGAGACGTTTACCCTTTCGGCAGACCTGGGTGTGGAATTTTGCAGCGCTTCAGGTGAAATGGGCGATGGGCAGCCATGCTTGACCCCAATGGGCAGGGACGAAACGACCCCAATCTCCCTCCTGCGGATACAAACGGGATTCTGAGGGACTTGTCCCCTCTGGTACCTGCAAGCTGAACTACCGATCAAAAGTGTGCATGTTTTCTGTCACACTTGCCAAACCGTACCAGGTGCCTGACCTGTGGATGGCAGTGCCAAGGCCACGCAAAGGGACTGTACTGGGGTCCTGGTTGAGGTGGCGACGCAGGGCAATCTTGGCAGGAGAGAAGCGGGTATAGTCAGGTTGGGGGTTCCCCAATTGCCGGTTGCGAGCGTCGGGGGTTTGGGGTACGATGTCGTGGTCAGGAGAGGCGGGCAGGTAGCGAGGCAGCAGGTCTTTGGCCCGACCTCTCTCGAAGCAGGGGGAGCTGGTGCCGTTGATAGAGAGCTCTGGGCTCAGGCCATTGGCACCCGTGCCTCCGAGGGCTAGTTTAGGCATGTCCGAGTCCAGGGGCCCCTGCGGGTCCAGGCCGTGGAGACTCTTGCGATATGGCGGGTCCTCACATGGGCTATAAGACTTGAGCTGCAGCAACTCCTGCTGCCTCTGGCTTTTTTCGAGCTCGACGATGCTGATCTGTGGACAGACAGCAGATGGCGCCATTACGACGGCCGAGCTGGGCACGCACGCGAAGCCGATTGCAGTTCCGCTTCTAATTATACATTGCAGGGCACATTGGGTGCTCTGCACCTTCCTGGAGCAAAAGGAAAGTTAACCAAATGGGGGAGGGAGGGCCGACGGGCACCTGTAGCTCCAGGCAGTGCCGCTGCTTCTCCGATATCTGCTTGCGCAGGGCCTGCTTCTCTTTCACCAGGCTCTCCAGGCACAGAGAGCCCCAGTCCAGATTGAGCTCCTCACAGCGGGACTTCAGCTGCAGGAACCCCCCACCGAAACACACTGCCATTACTCACCAGCAAACACAAGACGGTTTTTAAATCAGAACGAGGAGTACAGAAGAAATGCACGGCTCTACATGCGGCGCGTGTGCAGTCACCCGGAACCCACAACTCTGCGTGGGTGACATCACGGAGCGTGCCTTGCCGCCGAGCGCTCACCAGGAGCAGGCTGTGGTCACGCAGCACCGCCGTGTCCCGCTCCAGCTGCTCAGTCTGCTCCCTCAGTTGCTGGTTGTGGGCTGAGATCTCCTTCTGGGCTTGGAGGAGGTCATCCAAGGTGAGGGCTTTGACACCCAGCTGAGGAGGGATGAGAGTCACAGAGGCCGCACTGGTGAGTACATGCTGGGGACACGGGCAGCTTCCTGGACACAAGCTAAACTACAAGGGAATGCGCTCAGAATCAGAGCCTCTACCCCTGAAAACATGTCGCTCCCCTGAACTCTTCATAAACACACAATACAAGCTATTCAGGTCTGGCCTTACAATTATATGCTACACGCAGTACATTAAACACCACGAGCAAAATATCACATCATATCAAAATTTTCCATTCCATAAAAACAAATGTAAATGTGCACGTCTCCTACCCAAAGACATTTGCAACCCACAAGGTAAGCAAAGCAAGTACTTTTCCAAAATGCAACTATTAAGGATGAGCTTTTTCAAATTACAAGCTTGCCTCAGAGTCAGCCACTATTACGTTAAGACAAAAGTCCACAAAAGGCCTTTTGATTTGCACCACTGAGGATCACATTCTCACCATGATGCCCCATCCAAGTACATGTGCGGAAGCTGATGGCCAGCTGCACTTCAGTAAGGTTACCGATAACGTTTACACAACGTTAACATGACACGTTCCACGACGGTGCCAACTGAACTATTTATCCAGCCGTCTAAGCACTATAACATACGTCCTAAAAGCAAGCATTTATTAACAAGAGGGTTTAGCATGTAAAAACAAACCACATCAGAATTAAAACATGCATATAAAAATTCTCTCAATACCTAAAAATCCAATCTGCTCTGCAATGCCTCTATGAATATACAGAACTATTTAGGCATGCAAACAGTGTTTTACTTCAACTATATCTGAATTCCTTGTGCAGTACATTACGGATCAGTGCCCCAGAACTGTGGTATTCACACATCATGGAGAGCCCAGCTGCAGTTTTCTTCCCCCAAAAATCCTGTGCATTACAGTATCTTGGTCAATTTTGATGACCATCACAAAAATACACGAAGAATGTTAAGTTATTCCTTTTCCCCCGAGTGCATCTTTTGTCTAGTTTATTTACATATGAATGAAACTCTGTTTGGAGACCTACCTCCTCCAGTTTGGACTGGAACAGCCTTTTGATCTTGTCCTTGTGAGTCTGACACACAATGTACAACTGCTCAGCTTGACCGGACAGCTCGCTGTGTCTGAGCTGGGGGCAGAGATTGGGGAGGGGGGGGGGGTAAGTCAGTGGATGAAGCTCACATCAAAATAACCAAAGGCTCTGTGTCTCCTGGTGGGACAACCGGTCCACAACACAGGTCTGAGAAAACATGAGAAGAAAAGGAATGAATCCTGCCTCATTTAAGGCCTATAAAATAAAAAAAAAAGTGTGAAATAACCAAACTGAGTGTGCAAATTAAAACAATGGGAAGAGAGAGAGTGGAGCTTGAAAAAGGATCACATCAATTACAGACGTCCCTTCAGGACAGGGACCACCCAACAGACATGGACTGCAAGGTGTTGTATCTATTTCACGGCAGGTGAGTCCAGCTGGACATACCTTCTCCTGTTCCAGAAGCTGCTGCAGATTAGTACGGTACTGAGGCGTCTTCATGTAGGCCAGAAACTGCAGGTACTGCACCTTGATATTATCTGAAACGGAGACAGAAGGCTTTGCTGGCCTGTGCGTCATCGCGAGCGAGAGGCGCGTACACCGGACGGGACACCTTACCCAGAAGCTGCTGCAGGGCTGGGGAAGTAGGACCCAGGAGCAGCTGGCTAGACGCATAGTGCTGAACTTTGGGAGGTAGCTGGTAGAAAGGACTCTGAGGTGACCTGTATGCATCTGTAAGGAGCAGGAGCACAGCAGCAGATCATTAACATCATGGATGCAAAAAGGAGCAGGAGAAGACATGGGGAAGGCGAGCGACGGCCTCCCACCCTGAGGGGGCGCTGCAGAAAGGGTCTTGGCGTGGAGCAGGTCCAGGGCGCTCTGGCTCTTCTTGCTCTTGCGCTCGGCGGCCGCCGCCGCTGCCGTCTTCTTGGGCCGCCCGCGCTTCCGGCTCCCCAGCTTGCTTCTCTTGGCTATGAGCCTGGCGCGCCGGGGCTTGGGGGACGGCTTCATCACCGTCAGCAGCCCCGGCTGCCGCTCGTCTTCACCACACGAGTCCTGCGGGGGGGCAGGGCTGCGTCAGTGCTTCCCTGCACGGACCCAGGCTGCTCTTCGCACCCACTAACTGCCCCTCTCATGCACTCGGATACATACTCCATTTGATGCTCACTGTTCCAGAGCACAGCTGCACCTCATTACTCATAAACACGTGCCATTATGCCGACATGCGCGGGAGAGCACAGGAACACGTCTGTCATGTTTACTGACTGACCAATCACATCGGGATAATAAAACCAGTGCTGCTGCACTGCAATGAGGTCGAGAGCCCAAAAATACGGTCAATGTCAGAGAAAGCGTCATGCTGTGAGAGGCACAGTACCTTGTGCTCCTTCGCCTTGGTTGGCGTGGTCGTGTTGCTTTTACTGTCTTTGTCTTTCTGCTGACGACGTCTAGCTGCCTCTTGCTCCTCCTGGAAGAGAGACAATCTGGTCATATAGGGCCCATCTTCACACTACCAATGATTAACATATGGACGAGCCATAAGCTAATATAGCCTGTTAGATAATGAGCTGCGTGCCCTAAGTGAGAAATAAACATTGACAAAAATCGGCATGATGGATCCTAACACAACCACACAAATGACTCCAATACGCCCGGAGTTTACAGACGAGATGAAATGCATACACATGACAAGAACAGATTTGCAACATTTCTGACACATAACAGGCATTAACAATGCCAAGCTTTATACAAAAACTTCTTTAATGAGGCCATTTTAAAGGCAAAAGCCAAATGTCACACACTTTGCAGAATGACATAAGAACTGACTGCACATTCATTATCAAAACTCACAAAGGTGATAAGAGGATGGGAATTTTATACACAAAAAGAAGAAATCAGCATGTCTACTGATGTGAGATTCACTATTATGTGAAACTTACCCTGAGTTTAGGATTTTTGAGACTAGAAAAATAATTTTCAAGCTGCAAAAAAAAAAAAAAAAAAAATCTTATTACAGTTGGTAATAGTAACCACATTAACAAGGACAGAACTATCAAATCTTCAAGTTTAACAGTCAACATTAACATGCAGCCAATTTCGAATACTAGCTACGACTTCTGTTACATATGTCTAACTATCAGTGGAAAAGACCCTTTTAATCTGTTCTTGACTTTGTTTGTATTCAACGCCCACTGTATCTCCGATAATTAGGTAACTGGAAACTGGGATTATGCAAATCTCTTGAGAAGAACATTTAATGATAATTGTATTAAATGAATAAGCTGGCAGAGATAAACTTAAGGGTATCAGCAGCAAAAAAGCCCATAATCACCAGCAGTACCTGGAAGAGAAATATCTGCACTGTTTTCATTCTGTAATATTCTCATTATTCTGTTTAGGCACTTGGGTCTTGCATCTACAAGTCACTATAGCACACTCCAGTTCTCATAAAAACCCACTTTTTGTATTTTTTTAAAAACATTAACTGTGCAAAGCTGCAACTCAATGTCTACCAAGTGATTTCCAGAAGGAAAGGAATGGGCAAAACTCACTATGGTGCGGTCGATAGTATGCAGATAGTAAGAAACTGGCTTTCCAGTCCAGGATACTGAGCCTCTTAGTGGAGATAGCTCCACTACTCTCATTATTGTGCCAATATCTACACAGGAAGAGAGAAACACGAGAGAACATCAGCGCTTACATGGAATAGGGAGTCATCACTCTGCTCAAAGCATGTGAAAAATGCAAGTAAGCTTCACACCTTCACAATCACCAATAAGGATAAATAGGGTTCATACTGCTTACCACTCAAGTTTCGACTGTTTATTCGGAAGTTTAGAGGTGCAAAGGGTTTTGAGGACACAATCTTTCCACCTGAAAACACAAAAGGGAAACACAAAATGGAAACTAACCAGCAAACCACGTCGGTATAGTCGTGCGATAGGTTTTCCATGCCAGAAGCATGACTGCACTCTGCAACATAAACACCAGGACACATTGAATTAAATGCTCTTTATGATCTCGGACTTTGGTCCGAGGTCACAAGGCAGATGGTCAAGGCTTTCTAATGCTGAGGCGTGATCTGACCTAACTTCAGCTACTTTCTCTTGATCTCTAGTTGACCCAGTTGTTTTAAATAGCCACTAAAAATCACCACAATAATCCACCCGCCGTCGCAGTGCTAAAACCCTTATACCAGCCGTCTATGAGAGACTCACCCTCCTTCATATTAGCAAATCGTTCCTTCAGCTGGTGATCCACCTCGGGACCAAAGGCAAAGTTATTCACAAATATCACACTGCAAAAAAACATACTGGTTAGAACAATGTCAAGTCAAACAGCCACTGCCATGAAAAAAAGAGATAAAGGTATCTTGGTGCACCAACAATTATTCAGTCTAAGTGCACAGTGACATTCGCACGAGGGCATAAGCGCAGGTGCAAAAGGCTTATTCGAGCATACTGTAACACACTAGCATTAGTTCGGCACGAAGAAAATCAGCCTTCAAGGTAAACGAGTCGGGCGGGTGGGAGCAAAGCATTGAGCACACCACCCTACCTTGTGTTCGCTATCCGATCTTTCCACTCTTCAGACAGGAAGTCTCCCCTCTCCAACTTCACAACAAAAAGTAGTAATGAGTACAAATGCACAGGTGGTCACTGGGTATAAGATGCACCACACTGCAGCACTTACAGTGTATTCCCCGTGCTTCTTCCCGTACCACTTCATCCATTTCTTAAACTCTCTGTCCATTGACTGCAATGAAAGGCCAACACATACTCAGAGGATCTTTTTCCGCATCCGTTACAATAGTCCGAATGCAGAAGACACACAGGAATGTTACCTCTGCATAGCTGGCTGGAATGTCTGCCTTCTCAACACCATAATAATGTTTACAGTTTGTTGCAGCAGCAACCTGCAACACTACCTGTCCAACTCCTGGAAAATTAAATAAGGGGTGGGGTCACTTGTCAATTTCTAAAGGACACAGGTTAAACAGAGGACCTCTGTCATAAGTCACACCATTTACTCAATGTAACCATAATTTACACAGCGGCTTCAAGCTGCCTTTAGAGAGGGCGGGGTTGTTTAATTTGGCCAGGGTATCTCTATTAACCCAAAAAAATCACTGTGCATGCACCAAGAGTCTTCTTCGGGGTGGGAGATTTATGGTGGAAAATAACTGACCGCTGCCCAGGTCGACAAAGGTGTCGTCCTCCATCATCTCCATCTCGTCGATGATCTGGGCCACCAGATCGAAGGACGTTTCGCCATACACCTCTGGTGAGAAAGGCTCGTAGTTGTTGAGTTTTTCTGGGTCAGTGACTGAGTGGTTGTACACCTGCTGCAGGATGTGGCGGAGCAGGCCATTGGACGGCCGCTTGTTCAGTTTCATGGGCTGTGTGGTGCCTTTCCACTGCAGGACAACAGCACAGAGAGAAACACTGAGGTCTTAGCGACTTGCATGGAAACAGAGGAAACCTGAAATCTTTGGACTGGGGGGGTCAAACAGGGCATGCTGGGTGACATAAAGACAAAGCCAACATGAGCAGATAAGTAGGTGGCTCGTCGTCCATGTATTCAAGCTCCATACACAGGCATTAACAGAGGTCAAAGGTCGTAGGTATACAATGGCTACAAGTTTGAAGCTAAGTTTCAGTCATTTAACACACTCATTTAAATACACTGACGTAACAAACAGGATTCAGCTGATGTATGATGTAAAAAGGCTACTGCCAGGTCCTTGCATGGTTCTGAAAGATCCTGGACTCACCAGCTGGTGGATGCTGTCAATCGCTCGGTTGTATTTGTCACAAAGCCGCTGCATGCTCTCAAAGCTGGAAGACCGCAAAAACCCACGCATATCACATTCTGATTTACCAACAGCAAACTGAAATCAACAAGGTTAAAGGAAATTGTTATGATCACAACATCGCAGTCTAAACAAGTGACCCCAAAGATGATCAGATTTCCTATACTACACCCATAATCCAATTTACTCATGAGATCAACCTTGCCATACATGACTGTTTTGCATGAAATGCCATTGGGAAGAATTCAAGATTTGCTGATGTTAAGATGGCACGTCAGTATTTGACCTCCAAGGGTTTCATGCTAACATTTTTTATGCTAACATTGGAGATTTTACCTCTTGGTGTCATAGTCGATGAGAACATAGTTTTCCATGGCCAGTTTAAGATCAGGGATTTCTTCACACACCCATCTAGATTGGGACAAAAACATTGTTATGCCATGCTTACCAGACACATCAGACCGAATGAGAAGAGGAAGAAGATTGTTTCTTACCGTATAGTTTCAATAATTTCGTGAGCAGCATCATGGTGTTTATCCTAAATTTAGAGAGAAATGGAAGAAGATCTGGTGACCGATGGCTCGTGGGAATTTAATTCTCAATGTTACCATGAAATAAAAACCACCCTGTTAAAAGGTAAAAATTGTATTTTGAGTCATGCTATAACTGCCTTTGAATGATAGGTAATATCCACCTATTCCTGTTTATCAGGTAATTAGTGAGTTACAACAAAAACCAAATCAGGCTGTCAGTTCAGCTACATCCAACTACGATGTGACTCAACGTTTCCTTCAGCAAATCACTTAAATTAATTAGCTAGGCCTATTTCTGAGTGATGTGCCAGTCGCTGGCCTTTTTTTTTTTTTTTTTAAAAAAAAAGCTGTGCTTTGTACTTTAAACATCATGCATTTAGCATAGCGGCATATGTTGCCTCATTTCTGATCCAGTAGCCTGCTGTCTTTTGTCCTATTAGCTACACCAAGGGGAAATGATGCAGTTTCTCAGAGGTTTTCCTGATTCAGAACGGCAAGTTAACAGGTGAATAAAGACTGAGTATTTACACACACACATTTCAGTACACACGCCTTGAATTATCTATAGAATTATGAAAAAGTTTGCCTTATTATACTGGCTTAAATAGAGTGGCATGTTTGAGTTTATAGATCAACGGCAGGTACCATGAAACTCCAGGCAATCAAGACATCCATCCATTTCTGCATAGTTAATACAGGGTCAACATGAACTAGGATCTAATCCCAGGAAGCAGAGGACAAGGGACATGATAGATGAAATGTTAGCCCATCATATATGGAAGCAAATTTCCTCCTCTCTCAAATGTGATACAAATCGTGAAATAAAACAGCAAACAAGAAACTATTCATGAACTGAAAAACTGATATTCTGAAAACTAAACTCCGACTACATTAGCCATACTGAATATCAGCACACACTACTTTCAGTAAATCCAACTAGCTAATATGTGAATGAATCTTATAGTTACAATGAAGGTAAAGCAACAAAATCTTATCAAAATCACGTCACTGGATATATCTTGTGCATATACAGACTCTGGAGCTGTTTACCTGCACTGAAGTCAGGGAGAGTGCAAAGTTAACGCAAAAGGTATTAACACAAAATTATTAACGAACAGAAAGGAATCTGCACTAACAGTCTTAACGTAAATGTGCTTAAAGTCTTGGAATGAAATGCTAATGCTAAGTGACACTGTCTGCACTTGTATATTTGATTCTGTGTGCACAAAAGGAACAGTGAATCATTTCATGAACTCTGGAATAAATCCTTCTTGTCCACAACACCTGAAAATTGTCTGTGTATTCATGTTAATTTTAAGTGGGAGGGAACGATTAATGGAGAATCAGCTGCTCCGCAACTGTCTTTAATCCATCCAAATGCCAATATGTGGTGTGTGGACACAAGTATGGATCCCCTAGAGAAAAAGGGCTCTTATTTATAATAATAATAAAAAAAACATCACTTTATATGGAGTGATCTGCCTTTGAGAAAAGGAGACAAACAGCCTTAACATAAAAAAGCAAAATTGCTAAATCAAAAATGTTTACATCTGAATAATCATTTCATTCATAACAGGCAAATGCTGGTGTAAAATGATTCATCACGAAAGTAGACAGAACAAAGAATGAAAGGGTAGCATCAGAAGAACTTTATGACTCATGTTACACAGCACGTGCAACAAACAGGCTGCATTTCTTCACGATTTTTTTTTTTTACCGTGATAGCTGAACAGCTACTTTTATATTCACGCATAACTGCAGCTCTAAATCTATAGGATTCAAAGAGGTGAGCTGACAGCTACAGTCAAAATAAAAAGGACAGGGATCCCCATGTACATACAAAAGCATGTATAATGAAGCAGTCATCATGAAGAGGAGGATTAAATGGAGAGAACCGTGTCTGAGAGTCATGCGCACACAGCCGGATGGGAGTGGGCGGGGGGTTGGGGGCTCACGGAGAGACGGCACGCCAAAAACCGCCTCCGCTAAAAATAGTCCCGGCTGACAGAGGGGAGGCTGTAGCCAGTTCCCCTCACCAGTCTGCTTGCCATAAGTGGTAGAAATGACGACGGAAGTGAGTCACGAGCTTCCTCCACGTCACCCCCACTCACGATCTGACTCATAAGCGGGGCTTCTAGCACATCACGCCTCTTTACTACACATTACTCACGACGCATAAATGACTGGCAACTTAATGCAATGACACTGCAAGAAAGCAGTATGACTGAGCACATGTCGCGACAGCCTCCCTGTTATCGCTTCATGTCAGCCACGTTTCTGCCGTGCTCTCAGCGCCGCGGCATACTCCAGGTCACGCTGCCGCCTCACGACCAAAGCTGAATGAAAGCTGCAAGAACTGGACCGGACTCTGGGCTTCAAATGCGCACAAGTCCACACGGCACCAGACAGAGGCAGCTTGCAGTATCTGCACATAATCTCAGTCGCACCAACACCCCCACTGTTCCCATACAGTAGGGAAGTATAAAACTTGTTCTTGCATGTTAATGTGAAAGATGGGGCAAAAAAAAAAACTTTGGGTTACTCAGGGCCAGGGGCACAGAAATACATGTTTCTTTGGGTGTGGACTTGTGTTCATCTGTGGGATAAAGTTAACTGAAAATCACCCAGACTGGCATTTCCTGACCAGAAAAAAACTAAAGCAGATATGTAGCTATATTATATGTACATACATAATTACTCATTCATTCATAAACACAGAGAGTTTACTCTTTTCCCCATAGAGAGCCCTGTCCAGCCCACACTCAAAATAATATACCCAATGTACTCAAAACAAGAGGTTTGCTTCATATGGAAGCATTTTACAAGGATTTATATCCACAGTTGCAGGCTGTGTGTGCATGTATGCCTGCACTAAGGCAGGAAGAGAAACAACATGCCTGAATGTGTGCTATGTTTTCCATTACATGGATCTATGTACACAGAACATCTATGTTATGAATACATTTAGGACAACTGTGAGGTTTCATCATGGGCAATTTTGACCTGGCAGTCGCAACTGATAGATGTCTGAATGTATGAAGACTGCAAAAACTGTCAGCATAAGAGCACTAAAATAACCCCTAAAACAGAAAGGACTTACAAGATATTTACCATCACGTTTCACTATAAAGAGACCAAAATGTGTCTGGGTGAGGGGGGCAAATATTTCACTGCCACGTCAGTATGTGAAAAATGGTGCTAAATTCAACAGAAGATTCTGCAGCTGATCAAAGTGTCCCACAATATGGATCTTATCTTCCTTCCTGAAGTGCCTCTCCTCCCAGCTCTGGTATTATTTACAAGGCAGAAGTGAAGCGAAGCCATACCAACCAGAGGAACAGGAACGCACACCCTGGCAGGGGCAACTTCACAACTGCAAATGGCCCATTGTACATGCAAGTACAGAACCACAAACTAATTACTGACACTCATGAGCAGGCACTCACCGTGGAGGCTGACAAAAAAATAATACACCTTATTGCAACTCAGAGAAACTAAATCAATCTACTTTTGGCATGGTTATTTTAAATGAAATTATAGTTGTTCATGACCAAGCAACACTGAATAGAAAGTAATTATTCAACTGTATTTTATAACCACACGTGTAGGTAAATGAGCTACTATTGCAAAGCAAACATCCAGCAAATTTACATCGCAATCAAATTAAGCCAATGGCGGCATTTTGCTAGAAACTCTAATGGTAAAAACTCTTGCCCATTCTCTAAAGCAGTGTCTCCCAGCCTGGTCCCCTCCCAGCTCCCTCCCAGACAGTCCATATTTTTGAGAGCTGGGAGAGAGCAAATACATGGACTGTCTGGGGGTCTCCAAGGACTGGGTTGGGAAACACTGCCCTGAAGTAAAAGGAGGAGCGCTTATGCATTGTTACAAAATAGGGAACTATCTGTACCATAGTCAGCCTAAAGCTCTACAATGTGCAGGGAGGAACATAACACATCCAGAACTGAGACAGCCAACAGGGATCACAGCAATCTAAAAATGGCTTCTCAAGCCCAAAACACAGTGTCACGATTTTCTCCTGCTTAATCCTCACAGAAGACCACCACTTAATGAAGCGGAAAACATTTAACCTTTCCGGCAATGCCACCCATTCAGCTACCACCATATATATAGAAAGCTAATCTTCAATAAACGTTTGTTATTGTTGAGGGAACTTCAGGTCATGTATTTGCTGGTCAGAAATCGCCATCAAGTGCTGCCCAGAGTAGCACAGACTCCAGTACCCGTGGCACTGTATATGTGCTGTATGAGAGCAGCTTATTCAACAGCCAAAGAAACCAGTTTAAAATGTGTGGAATGCTGTCTGGAGTCAACTTTCCAGTTTTAATGCAAGAACTGCATTTGCATAAACTCGCCTGGGAATCTGTGTCATTCACTGCATTCCCACTCCAATGAAGAGTCAGGAAGCCCAAATACAGAAACCCAGCAGGACTGTACCACTGCGCTGCTACAGCGTGTCCAGTCATACAAGAAGTGCATGACCGACTGTCTGGATCAAATTTTAAACACTAAATCAATCTTGTAACTTTTTTTTTTTTAACCGTCGACAGTAACTGTAAATTTTCGTTTGCAAGAACATGCAAGGTAAATAAAATTGTGTATTGACATCTGCTTTATCCAAGACATTTACACCGCGAGTTGTACAGTGGTTTACATAATAATAGCACAGTGCATTGTAATATCTATAGGCAAAGTGTAATAATAAAACAGTAGTAGAAAAGAATTTGCACAAGAATATGCGAATACCTAGTTTATTTTTAAATGACAAAACAAGGGGATCGTAAACGCGTTTCAGCTATACGATGTGATCGTATCCTATATGAAGATAAATAAACTTGAGTACAACGATCTGAACAGTGACCACAAGAAACTGGCCTCTACTTATCGCAACCTTAGATGGTTATAGAAGAAAGCCAGATACGTTAGACAAACCAGGATCTTTCGCAACAAGGTTTTGGGGAAAAGAAATTATACGTTCTGTCACATAGTTTTGCGAATACAGCATTCAGTTTCCGCTTTTAAAATATAAATCCGAATAGCTTACAATCACCCCTCCCCCAATAAACAACACTAAATGACATCGGGGGAAACTCAGGCAAACGGTAAGCCTGCAACAAAAATATTCAGGACACCAGCAATTATTCCATTCCAAAGAGTTGCATGAATGTGCTTACAGTGCGTATTCGGCCAGAAAACCGAACAGCTATCTTATATGTAGGTGAGCCTGACATTAATAAATATCTAACCCGTGGCGGTATTTTTCTTACGGTGAGGGGAACATATGAATTGGGGTTTGCATCATAAGAATTCATCTATCTTGTTCTGAGTAAAACAAAAACTGCCCGAAACAATGAGTCGGGAATTACAGTCGATCCCGTCTGTGTCACTATTATTTAGCATTATGGAAATATGCGCAATACATGTTAAAACTAAGAAACGTATGGTTTCGTTCCATCTTCCTAGCTTTCCAGCCATTTATGCTCCAGGGCTCTCCTGGGGGCGGGTGTTGGGTTGCCAAAGGGAGCCGTTACCCAGTTTCCAGCTAAGAATAACTAGCTAGACTGTTTGAAAACAACCAAATAGGAACCGACGGCTTAAGTTCCACAGTTTGTCAGGCTCGTGCCAATTTCGGATACTAGCCCCGTACAAGTTCAATAAGCAACGACACCAATAAGTCAGTAACCCAATGTGTGAATAACTATATAGGCTACCCTGCTAGCCAGATACAATAGAAAAATGTGTCTACGATAGTGACGGTGGCATGGTACTAGCTAACACCTAGTTGTTTTACATGCCAAGTGACATGTGCTCAGTTTTCAAAACCCTTAACGGCCAGTTCCTGTATATTTTCCCCATTACTGAAAACGCTGCCCAGTTTCTGACGGACTAAGATACTGTAACTCAGATGTGACTGGCCAGAATGGCTTCTAGCCTGCTAGCTAACACGACGTCGCTGTCCCGTTTCTGCCGACTTAAACGACCGTTGGAATAAGTTAATCGCAAAGAACCAGACAAAGAGTCACATTCCTCCCTCTAATGTACTTACGTATACTGGAAGCGGCCAGGGGTAACCCGCTGCCTCTGCTCCGACCGGCGACTTCAGCTTGAGTTCCAGCTTCTCTCCCATTCTATACCTCTCTCCGGCGTTAGCTAGCTACAGCAGCTAGCTAGCTACAAGGTGAACATTTTGACTGAAAAATATCGAACACTACTGAAAAGACGGGATGAAGTTTAATGTCGGAAGTAGGCGTGACGTAGATTTTTTTTAAATTTTAATTTCTTCGTACTGTATTTTCTTTTTTCCTCTTTATATTAAAACTATTCAAGCCGACTTATTGCTGTCCTTCTGTTCCACCGCCGCCATCTTGAACCGGCGTGAGAAGGCGAGTAAAATTGGCCACTACCAAAGGAACATAAACGGTGGGGAGAAAAACTCAGCTTTGCAGTTCCGATATGGAAGATTTTTATATGTAATGTAGAAAAGAGACTGTTTGTCATGCTATAATACCCTCCCTTTTTGACAGTGACGACAGGCGGGGGATATTATCTTCCACTGGAAAAGTTTGAATCGAATTTCCCGGTGCCAATAACGGCTGGTGGGCGGGCTGTACCATTTCCCGGTAGAAGAGGCCACTCCCCTACGCGGGGTTCTGAGGCGCAAACAAAAGCGAGATATGTAGTAGACCTGTTTCAAAGAGCGAGACTACTGTAGTCGTTGGTACCCATTTCACGACTTTTTTTTTTTTTTAAATCTACGTACCGAGGTATTCATAGCAAAACTATTGCTAGATATTAACGTCCTGGTATCAATTTATCAATATTGTTATTGATACAGTTACATCCGTCCTCCATAACCGCGCGTCCAGTAGCCGGACACGATGAGCCGGTCTGTCTGAGGAAGTTCGGGGCACGAAGCAGGGGAACACCACGGCTGGGTGCCAGACCGTCGTATGACACACATACGCGCGTACAGACACGTACACACACGTACACAGACACATCCACTATGGGCATTTTGCACACAGTACTTCGGGACCATGGGAGAAGATCCACGTGAACCTGCAGAGAACATGCAGCTTCCATAAGCAAAGCGGGCCAGGAGTCCAACCTGGAGGTGTGACGCTACAATGCTGTTCTACTATGCCAGCATTTAAAAATATTGTTAGTGATTAAAATTATGAACCATTTATAATAATATTGGAAGCTATGTTTGAAACTAATCAGAAAACACGGTAATAGCATTATTACAATGATGCATTGCGGTCCTATGACACGCTTCTGACATGCATATGATTAATGACTAGTCCCAGCCCAAAATAATTCAGATTACTATCTGCTTATAGACAAGTTTATGGGACCAAAGCCATCGAATGGCTACCTTTGCCTATTAGCAAGATAATAGTTTGGAATTGTCTTGTGCATTATCTATCCATTTTCTATACCTGCTTGTCCTTTTCAGGATTAGTTTAATTAAAGCTAGTTAGGATTAGTACTGATTAGAACCTATACATGGCGTTACACTAATTGCATATTTAATTCACATCAACTAAACTTCTTTTGTATAATTAAGTAATCTGATGTTTTATATTGAAGCTGGTATTATAGACAAACCATTATTTGTTCTACTAATGGCATATTACATGTTATATACCATTTTACATTGCCTACTGTGAATTGGGCAGCCCAAGTCCATGCTGTATTAACGGAGGAAAAATAGACAGTTGACAACTCCTGTAATGTTTAGCTGGACCCTCCAAGGAGCACAAAAAAATGGATAAACGCCCTCTAAAATATCTTAAGTTCAACTTAGAGCTTTAAGCTGTCAAAAGCATGAAGTGCATTGCAAGAAGTCACCGAAAACCAAAAAGAATAAGAAAATCAGCTGTGTAAGGTTGCATAAGGGTTTGCTTCTGTTTCAGCAAAACATGACCGTGTTCAGAAACATCACTACAGTTTTGTATGGGAGATGAGTGTGTTGTCATAAATTACATGTACGGTTTCTGAACCAAAGACCTATCTAGCACATATTCGTCCATCAGAACAAAATGAATAGTATACACCGATCAGCCGTGACATTAAAACCAGCTGCCTAATATTGTGTAGGTCGCCCTTATGCTGCCAAAACAGCTCTGATCCATCAAGGCAGGAACTCCACAAGACCTCTGAAAGCACCAAGATGTTAGCCTCAGATCCTGTAAGTTGTGAGGTCGAGCCTCCATGGATCAGATTTGTTTGTTCAGCACATCCCACAGATACTTGATCAGATTGAGATCTGGGAAAATTGGAGGCCAAGTCAACTCTTTGAACTCTTTTTCATGTTCCTCAGACCATTCCTGAACCATTTTTGCAGTGTGGCAGGGAACATTATCCTGCCGAAAGAGGCCACTACCATTAGGGAGACACTGTAGCCATGAAGGGGTGTACTTGGTCTGCAACAACATTTAGGTAGGTGGTATTGTGGAAATACCATCCACATGGATGCCAGCACCCAGAGTTTCCCAGCAGAACATTGCCCAGAGCATCACACTGCCTTTGCTGGCTTGTCTTCTCATAGTGCATTCTGGTGCCATCTCTTCCCCAGGTAAATGACACACACACACCCAGTCGTCCACATGATGTAACAGAACATGTGACTCATCAGGCCAGGACACCTTCAGCCATTGCTCCATGGTGCAGTTCTGCTGCTCACGTGTCCATCGTAGGTGCTGTTGGCCGTGGACAGGGGTCAGCATGCACTCTGTGCATGTGCTGCGATGCACTGTGTTCTGATATCATTCCATTATAGCCAGCATTAACTTTTTCAGCAGTTTGTGCTGCAGTAGCTCTACTGTGGGATCAGATCAGAGAGACTGGTGTCTGTAGTTTTAATGTTATAGCTGATCGGTATAAGTATATTAAGAATAATGATACTGAACAGAATAACTGTATGGAATGTAAGATGATGGGTCTGCAACTTTTGAATACTGAAAGTGCCACCAGAAATATGCCGTGCCACATTCAATAGTCCATCGATAGGATTTTTGACATTGAAATAAGGGGAGTGAGTTTTATTTGTTCACTACAAACATGACTATGCAGTGTTACAATGTAGCATAACCCTATAATGTACTTTCAGTATTTACATTATTTTAGCATCCATTTGAAGAGTAAGACACCACACTGCACCAAGTTTATTATGGATAATGCCCAGAACTCCAGAGCTGAAATGCATATCTATCGCATGAGTTGGAGCTCCTCTCCTTGCACTTAGTGTCTTCGTGAGATGATGCAGCGTAAGTGTATGCAGATTTAAGAGGTAGAACCGCTGGCTGATTTATTGTGCAGTAGTGCCATTTCTGTCATTGCAGTGCTGCCTGCTGAGTCACGTAGCTTGTTAATGAAGCATAGATTAGGTCGCTACTCAAAACGAAACCATCTAGCGAAGAGTAAACCCGTTAGCTGAATAGATCACGTTAAAGCATTATGATCGTCTGCATGTTTAAAAAGAGCATATGACTGTTTATGAAACAGTCAAAACCAATTTTTGAATTAATTAGGCTAGATCTTCAAATTGATAACAATGACAAATGAATAGGATTGCAAGTTATTTAAATAACAGGAATCATAAGACACTGTGGGATATCCATAAAACACAACATTGTTTAAGGAGCTGATTACGTTTCATCTTGAGCTTGTTACCTCCCTGGATATTTTGGGCTTTTTTTCCTGACAGAATGATGCAAATGAAAGTGAGAGAGCCTCCCGCCTCAGTACCCCTTCACTGTCAGAGCGCTAGGGGCTTGCCACCCTGACTGTGGGCGGGCATAGAGTAGGAGTGCATCTCAAGGAGAAATCAAAAGATGCTGCGTTTGACGTCACGGCAGAATCCAACCATCAAAATGACCTCAAGATCCCCAGAGATGACGCAGGGAAGAATGTCCCAGAAGGAAATGGTGAAGAGCTGTACTTTAGTTATTAAAAAGTCACCAAATACCAGAACAATATAGAAATTGAGAATGACCTAGAACAGTGTTTCCCAATCCAGTTGTTGGGGACCTGCAGACAGTCCACCTTTTTACTCCCTCGCAGCTCCCTGCCCATGTGGACTGGCAGGAACCTGGGACGGAGCAAAAACATGGACCATCTGCTGGTTCCTAAAGAACCGATTCATCGCAGTAAAACAACCCAAAAAACAGCATGAGTTTAAACAGATTTATTTTATTTTTTTTTAATTCTTTTTTTGTAATCTTGAATCAAACTTGGGGGTCTCACAGTGGCACAGTGGTTAGTACTGTTGCCTCACACTCCTAGGACCAGGGTTCAAGTCTCCACTGTGGCTCCGTTTGTGTGTTCTCCCCTGTGTCGTCATGGGGTTTCCTCTGGGTACTCTGGTTTCCCCCCCACAGACCAAAAACATGCTGAGGCTAATTGGAGTTGCTAGGTTGCTTGTAGGTGTGCATGTGTGAGTGAATGGTGTGTGACTGTGCCCTGCAGTGGGTTGGTGGCCCATTCCCAACCTTGTGCACATTAGCCCCCCAGGCAGGAGTGCTGTAAGGGGGGAGGGAGTTAGGGCAATTCCAAGGGCCCCTGAGTGACAATTACTACAAACAGCTAATCTGGACTGGGGGGCCCAAAGTCTCTAGCAACACCCCTATCCCCAGGATAGACTGTGCCCCCCCCGATTAGGATAAGCAGTTACAGAAAATGGATGGATAAATCAAACCTCTTATTGCAACTATAGTGTTAAGATAGGTGTGAGGAATACACCAGAAATTATAATTATTAATGCCCAACATCATCTGTGTTCATATGTCCCAAGAATGCAACTATAATGTCCACACCATAGAAGTGTCATTCATTTTATCATGCTGATCTTGTGAAGCAGCGTTCGGTTTATCGCGTGCAGCAGCCATACGCCTGCGCTGCTCGCGGCAGCGTTCGGTTTATCGCGCGCAGCAGCTATATGTCTGCACTGCTTGCGGCAGATGCCCTGGGCTGCAGGGCAGGTCATCCGTGTGCACTGTGGCTTCTGCAGATGGGGCTTCAGGCACCTTGTCGAAACATAACGTCCATTCCACAGAGAGCCTCTACTGCTGCCCCACCTGCAGGCACGGCTTAAAATGGAACACACCCCCCCCCCCCGAATGGAGGGGGGTGGGGGGGGAGGAGAACTATGGAAGAGAGAGCACAGGCCACCGCTTCATCCTCCTGCCTCGCACCCTAGCCAGCAGCTCACTGATCAAACAGTCTGAGATCATCAAATCGCCGCTGCGATTCTGCCAAAGTCATGACTGCGGACACAGTGGTTCAGATAAGGTTTATTTTTTTTCCCTCCCTCAGCCAACAGTGGAGTTAACACAGCTAAGTCAAAGTTCATTCCCAAGAAAAGAAAGTTGTCTCCAAAGCATAACAAAGCACTTTCAATTCTGAAACTACAAGAAAAGCATGTAGTAAAATAGCACAAGTCCGGCCCAAGGAACAAGAAGACCATTCACCTCTGGAGAGAACTCACAACACTCTGATGTAAGAAAGATCATTGATTAATTCCACTGTTGTGCTAACACTGCTAATTGAGTACAAAAAGGATTTAATAACTAAGCTTATTAAGTTTCCCCATTCCTACTTCATGCCATAGGATGATATTTACAGTAATGGAAAGAATTACCCAGCACTTGGGTGAGTGTTTTCACCAAAACCCCAACACTGTACTGAAATGCATTTTTTATTACGAGATCTGTGAAAGCGCCTTCTAAAAGGGACAATATTTTTATCTTGTGCTACTTAATACCTGAACAGAACCATGGTTAATTATCTAATGAGTATTAAAAACATCTTAAAAAAATGGTAGTTAAAAAAAGAGCACACTGGTGTTTCCATGCAGTTTTTCAGAGATGTTATTGAAGTTTCAGAGCTCTAACAGTGATCTCCATTAGTGTATTGTTCCCCATTGATGACTGTAGGGTGGTACCCATTGCTGATGCCAGCTGAATGCTTGGGCGTTGCTGCAGCGATGCGTTTAGTGCAGGGGAAAAGGCTCCTTTGCATCTTGTGCTCCAGCTGCATGTGGTTCTGAGGGGCAAGACCGAGGCAGGCCCTGGAAGAAATGCAGTGAATTATCTGCACAGTTCCCTCTGAGAGGCTGGTCACAACTTCGCTTTGTTTAACCGAACTTAACAGTACTTGGAAGACGAACGACCGACAGAAACACTCAGGTCAAACAATGGATTTTTGTTGCAAGTTCTGCAAGTTGGAATATATCTGTGAGATGTACAGGGCACTTTAAAACGTCTCCCAGAGGTTTCTTCCTAGTTTTTCTGCAGCTTGTGCTGGGAGGTGCACATACCTCATGTAATATAGCTGTTAAGTCTGGACATTTGGCGTAAACAAGTTAGTAATGCAGCTCAGTACTGATAAGTTCTGGAAACAGGGAGCAAGTGTGTCTGACCTCATGATGTTTTCGATGCAAGCCCTCTGGCGGAACAGGGCGTTGACGATGGGGGCGCCCGCAGGAACAAGCGGAGCCTTGCAAAGGTAGCTCAGCAGCGAGAGGACACTGTGGAAGGTCTGGAACTCGGAGTCTCCTTCTGGGCGGAATGTGATCCTCTGGCACAATTCTGTCAGGATGACCAGGTCCAGGATAATGGGGCTGGCCAGCAGAGAGTCCTGAACGCAAAAAGACTGGCTGTCAAGGAATAAACCCCACACTCCCGTCACACAGATAACAGCAAGCGTGTGTTTCTGCTTTGCCATGAGGCTCTTTGTGTCGAATTCTCCTTTAAGGATTCCGCAGCACGGCTGCCCCGAGGTCCTTTGAAGAGGGTGACTATGTCTGCTACCCTATGCACTAAACACTAAAATCGCACAAATTCAGGTCACTGCAGTGCTTACAGTAAAAACCAGGGACATTCTAAAATACATTGCACCAATTTAAGCAAGAAGCAGACCACCCGGTGTTAGAGTCTGATTAGTCTGTAACCCTGCACCTCACTGTGCAGGATCCCATGGAAAAATCAAGTATCACAGCGTTACCTCGCAGGTGTTGTGTATGGCGATGGTGTTGGTGCCTCCCATCATGATCTCGGAGGTGTACTCATCCATGGCTCGCTTGCTGTCGCCCACATACGGCACGTACTTGATGACCACCTAAGACACAGACGGTCGTCTTTGCTCAGAAACACAAAGGCGCACAGGCGCAGAGAAAGGCCGAGCGGGGACCATCGCATGCGTGCACAGAGGAGCGTGAAAAGCAGGTCAGGTTATATATATATATATATATAATACACGTGCAATAACTATGGTATCTATGGAGCAGGGAGGAGCATGCAGGTCTGGCTCAGGCAGGCCCCTGGATACTCACGCAGTGATCTGGCTTCTCCCCAGGGGCATAGAGGAGGGGGTTAGCCTGAACCATATCGTCCACCACGTTGCTCTTGGAGATCTCTTTGGAGCGGAACTGCTGCGGCGCGGACAGGTTCATGCCGTCGTTGTTTCCCAGGTGGTTGTAGCTGACGATGGCGGTCGGCTGTACTCAGAGAAGACAGCCGGAAGAACAGTGCGTGTCCTTTTCTGTTAGTAGCAGCTGACCAAGCCACCGTGCATCTTTCCCACACATCCACATTTTATCTGGATGTCAGATTTTACCCCCAGTCTGCAGCTAATGAACGGAGAAGCAGCGGATGAAACACGTTCCTTCCCAAATTAGGTCAATATCTGTGCCAGTCTAAAATATCTCCCTTTAGTCCGATACGGCAGCGTGAGAGATGTAATTGGACACCACCTCCTCCTGGCAAACTCGACAACACACATAGAGAAAGGCCTTAAATCAGACTTGTTGTAAACATGTCAGGGTCTCAGTCAGTCTGCGGCGATGCTATGTGATGAGAGGGTGGGAGTAAGAGGGGGGGGGGCAGGGATGGCTGGAAGCTGAGGGCTGGCAGACAGCCAGAGTGAACTCGCTGACACCCAGCGAGCTCCGCTGACGGGGGCCAGAGTCAGCGCAGCAGAGCCAAAAGGAACGTGCACATATTTCTGAGGCCTTCTGCACAGCATGTCAGCCTCTGCTCTCCCTTGCTACAGACGGGCCCCTCTGCCTCTCCCTGCCCCTGTCACTACCCTAACATTTACAAGCGCTGCTCGGCCTGTGTAATTACTGGCATTTTAATCATTAGCATGTGCCTCTCGGGTTAAACTGCGTAAATGCCTACACGCAGGGCCCGCCGGGTTTCAGCCGTGCGCCTGTGAGCGGAAGAGGCGCAGCCTTCTCAGCATGGGAGACGGTGGCCGCGCGGAGCGCGAGACGACAGTAACTCCATAACAGCCCTAACAGCTGAGAACTGGGAACCTATCATGCTTGACCAATGAGAAAAGGTGCATTCCAATAGGTGGTATCCAAGTTTTCATCGAGTCATACCATCTAAACATGATACCAGGGCATGCAATATTTTATGGCATTTTCCAAAGCAAAGCTACTGCGGTATTTTGAAATCCCCCACTTGGCAGATTTTCTCAAAGACTTTAATATACCGCAGAATACCCAAAATACTGTATGTACTGTAACACAGCCCAATTCCACATTCCATTTTTTTCCAGTGACTCAGACTTAATAGACAGCTTAGCTGAGCTAGTGGGCCAATGGGCTAAGCCTCTGTGCCCGTGACTGGAAGGCTGTCGACTGGAAGCCAGACCTCAGCAGAATAGTCTCCGCCGGGCAGCGCCATGGGTGTCCCTGCAGGTGGCTGCCCTTCGCTGCTAAACGCACTCTCATCTACATACGTATGTGTATCATGGAGAGCAAGATGGGGTAGGTGGAAAGAAAATTTCCGTATGCAGATTAATAAGATACTATTAATACTGTTCCTACTTACCTTTAAACCAGCGCTAACAAGGAAGTCCACCAGCACCGACTTGATCTTGGTCTGCCCAGACTTAAAGTCATCTCCTCCGATGAAGACCCCGTGCCGGATCGCCAGCTCCACAGCCCCGGGTACGAGGGTGTTCTGAGGGGAGCCATTGATGTAGGCACAGCCTTCCAGGATGCTGGCAACAGCGAAGAGGGTGGAGGGGGAGATCTCTCCTCCTCTCTGTGGGAGGGCACACGGCAAACAGGCTCATAAGGCAATAAACCGAAAGAGGTTTTCTAACTGATGTTAGTTTTATAGTTTAAAAAAGGAAGTAGCCAGTTATGCAAAAAAAAAACCCGCTCCAGCACCCGATATACAAGTTACCATTCAGCTAAGTTTAAAGCTATATTCACTAGAAATTAAACTTGAAAAATGGATGGGGAGGGGGGCTTTTGGGACGATGATGAAACGGTGATCTAACTTCTGTAATGATGTGAGATATTAAGTCTTTGCACGACAGATCAGTTCTGCATGGGGTTTCAGGTCAGGGCAAAAACAAAAAGTCCTGTCTAATTCCAAATCGTGTAACGGAATTTGCTTACAAGTCCTGTAACGGTTGCTGCCCTCTGGAGGATTTTAAAGAACAAAACAAATTGTTAATCCGGCTTAGGCAGAAAAACGGGCCAGATGCCCTGCCTGCCTGCCTGCCCTTATTTGTCTGTGTGATATGGGGCACTGTGACTGCTTATAGCAAGTGCGGCGACGGCTCATGCACCTGGATAGTAGCCAGCAGGTTGTCAGCAGTGTCATTTTCCCCAGGAACGAGGTCACAGAAACGCTCGGTGTTGGCAGTCCACAGCACAATGACTTTGTCCGCGCCGCTCTTCTCCCGGAAGTCCCGGATATCCCTGCGGATCTGCTCCACCTGCGTCAAAGCCACGTTTACGGGGTTGATGGACTCTGAAGACGCTGAAGTGGGGCTTTTACGACGCGGCACATTGTCGGGCTCAGAGCATTAAGAAATTATTAACACTGGGATAAAACAACACCTGCACAGACTACAGATTCTTTCTCATGAATTCTTTGCCTTTAATGTGCATCCTTCTCTCTTTTGCAAACAGAGCAGGACCCCGTGCAGTGAATCTAACCTGCTCACTCATCGTTCCTTCGATGACGTTGTCAGCTCTCTGTTTCTGGTTGGCAGCAATGAACTCTGGTATATAAATGGAGCGACGAGGCCTCATTTTTGACATGTATGGACGGAGTTTCTCCTGGAGGGCCCAGTCCAGCACCTGAGCCCTATCCATTGCCTGGCCTAAGTCCATGGACGATATGTCCCAACCTGCACAAGAAACATGATGCAATCACGACGACTCTAGTTAAAAAGCCAGTAACCAATGCATTCTTGGCATTTTAACAGTGAGCGTCTTTTCCTCACCGTCAAAAACAATGTCATTAGGGTGCACCATGGGAAGCAGGTCATGGAAAGGGATGTAAACATCTCCCTCAGGTCCTGATCCCAGGCAGACTGTGGATGCTTGGAACAAGGAGCCAAAATAATTGGCTTTCTGGGGGTGGATGGGGGGGTTGAGAGAAGATAAAAATTAAAACCAGAAACAGGTGAATAAACTGTCACACTTCCAAAAAGACAATGAGTCTTTTTGCAATGAGTGGTATATTGCTGAAATTTGTATCACTTCTCTGATTCATAGGTATAAAAATACATCCAGCCTAAAATATCATGAAAGAGCAACATAACCGTAAGGCAAGAAAGTCCTTGGAAGAAAATAAGAGTTACGTCTTCCCTATTGCAGAACATATGTTCACATTGGAATGCTTCCAGTTTACCTTGGTGCCGGTTTTTGTTTTCCACGTCAGGCCCAGTTTGTTGGCAATGACCGCAGCTGTGACAGTGGTGCCGTTGTTGCCCCCCCAGCCCACAAGCATGACCCCAAGGCGGGGAACAGCACGTGCAGTGCGGAATGTAAAACTAGTTGTACAAGGAGTCACCTAGAGGAGCAGAGGGGAAGGGCGAATTCAAAAAGCCAGAGGGCAACTACAGCAACAGGACGAACATGGGCAACCAGGTAAAAGTGAAAAATTCTCTATTCAGCGAAGACAATCAGTCAGAAATGCCACCAATTCAGCTGTACGGCAATATCTCTAATACTACTATGTACATAGTACATATACATATGTAGTGTATGCATACATAATAAGGCATCAGTGACAGAGTTAGTTACCGTATAAGTTCCATTGTCGCCAGACACCACTGAGGTATGATAGTCGTATTGGGACTCGATGTAATTTTCCATGTATTTCACATTGGGACTGATTACTTTGATAAGCTCAGCCATGGTGGAAATCTACAGTGCTTTTTAAACAAAAAAAAAGGAAACAAATGACCAGCTAATATTTGAAATATTTCTAAACATTTTATTAGTGTAATTTAGATTTGGCGAACTGAGCATACTTCATAGAAATTAAACTAGCAAATCAACAGTCAACAGTTTTCATTTTTTACCAAAACTTTCTTGGAAGAGCAGGACGCACTGCGCATGCACGCCGCGCTCGAGGAAGAACAACCACCCAATCAGAGCAGCTGCTAATTAAAGAGCGCAGCAGTCGACTGTACCCCGTTTGTTCTGCAAGATGTTTCTAGATTTGGCATTTTATCAACCCATTCCGCCGCAGCTTTTATTGCATGATTTGCCGGAAAGTGCATTGGGTTTCTATAAATACTTTTTTTATTACCATATTAATTACCTTATTAATTAAAATGCATATTGAAGGTATCCATGTTAGCGCTCACTACAGAAGATAAAGTTGACAAGCATCACTTTCGAAAGTTTAAATTTTAATACGACATCACGATTGTGCAGTCTTGACTGAAATACTTTATTTGAATATGATTTACAAGGTGACCCAGCCCACTTGCAGAACGGCACTTTCTCACTTTTTCAACTAAGTCCCGAAGATGCCAAATTTATCCAAAAGCACACATAAATTGGCAGTTTTCGTTGTCTTTTATGCTTCTTTCCTGCTAACACAACACTGATTGCTGTCTTTTAAAGTAAAAAACACAATGTGTACCTGCGAGACGGAGGGAAAAAATGCACTAAAAATTTATTTGCCGTGTTGCTGAGACAACGCTGCATTAAACTACTAAACTCTAATTACTACGCATGTTAATATATTTCGATTACATTTTGCTTACCTTTTACCAACCGATACTGCGAGTCGCTCCTTCGTGAAATGAATGAGCTGTGGAGTGGATTCGCTGCAAGAAATAATCGCAACGGAAGGGGAGTGTCTATGGACTCGGCAAATGGGAGAAAAATCGAGAAGCTGCAAGCCCGACAAACTGAATCGGACTCTGGATTGCGGAATAACCTGTACGTCTGTGCGTGGAAGAATAAACTGTACAATGTATAAAAACTGTCCACCACTCCCTTGGCTAAACTAATGTTCCTTTGAAAAATAAAGTCGATTCTCAACGTGCAGTGAAAGAAGGATGAGGGAGAGGGACAAAAATTAAGTGCAAGTACAAATTAAAATCTTTTATGAACAACCAAAAGATCCTTCCCATTACCTCCTTTCTCATTCGTTGGATGATTCTTATGAATTTGAAACACCAAAGGATGCCACAATACAATAGAGATACTCCCCCACCACCTCCCTAGAGCATAACTTTGGGCTGAGGTCTCCACCCATTTTAGGGGGTCCTGGGGGTTGTATTGGCTGGTTTTGATTATTGGGGGGGTTACAAGCCCCCCATAATTTACACTCATGCCACCTCCTTTGCTCCATTCACCACACCTGCTCAACATGGAATATAACCTCTCTCAAGTTAAACAGTCTCCTCTGACCACACCCATGGGGATTTGCAGGTAGCAAAGCCCAGGCCGTAAGCTCTCCACTTTCTGGCCTCCAGGCCATTCCACCCCCCTGAAAATGCCCGTCACAGTCCAGTACTCCGCCTAGCAAGAGAAGAGTTGCTGGCTTTATTCTTGGTCAATCACTACGACTCCGTTTTAACACCAGAATATGCAGACATATTTCCCGGTCCTCACAGATGACAACGCACTCATTCAACAATTTGCTAAGCACAAACACCAGTTTCTGCTACAAATAAACGGCTCAGAAATTAAACTAAAAGCGCTATGGAGATCATGGGATCATTTAAAAACTGCAACAGAGAGCCACACACTTGCCAAAAGTACTTGCCATTCTAGGCTACCAAAATGAATAATAAAATAATTTTTAATAATAAATGAATAACGAAAATGCAATTGTACAGCTATTTAAAAATGCACCTAAATAATTTAATGGCATGGTCTTTTATATATGAAATCATATTAAAATTAAAACTGAACTCTATGTTCATTAAGTTCTTTTGTGAGATATTGGATTAATCATTATATATGACCATTATTATATAACATACAATATTTCCTACCCCTGCAAAGCAAAATAATTGGCTATGTAACTTCTTAGCTATGCAAGTCATCTTAAACTAGAATTTCAGAGAATATCTTTCACACAGAGTTTCTGAGGGATTGTGAAGTTTTTCACAAAGTGAGACGACATTACTGAGATAACTACATTAAACATTCTTTTAAATCCCATTTTTTTTCCCCTCCTCAATAAGTATCATTAGGATTGCAGAACCCTGATTTTGGTCATTCATGTTTTCATTTAAGGTTATTTCTCAGCAACTAAAGAATCCAGCCCTTTAAAAGCTCCTTTTACACACGCATGCCATTGAGGTCATAAGTTTTAATGTATTCACTTTCTCCAGACCCCTGTGTAAGAAAGTTACCTATTTACAAAAACTAGTAGTCAGCCCTGGCAATGATAATGCTGTGCACATTTCTCATTTCTAGAGCAAACAAAAAGTTCACAAGCCTTTTTAAGAAGGGTTGCATTCTGTGTGGTAAAGAATGAAGATCGTCGCCCTGCTCAAGGAACCATAAGGACCATCGTCAACTGGTGCTTCAACATTACACTCTGACGAATGCAGAATCTTCACTTGCATGTGTCAAATAGTATACGCTAGAATGTTTTGCACAACGCTGCTTATAAAATGTTCTGTTAAGAACATCTGTTTTCAGTGAATGTTGTAGAAGCAAAACAAGGGTATTAAATAAAGAACTATAATAATATGTTAGGCAGATGTCTCTCCAGTGAGACCAAGTCATCATTTAGAAATGAAGTGTTTTGCTTGCAGTCGACAGATCCTAATATTTAGCTGCACTATACTATTTGCAAATTAATAACAGAAGGAAGAAAAAAAATAATGAGGGTAACAGGCTAGCAAGACTATTTTTCATTCAGGCAGTATTCATAAATGTAGCTGGTGTTTGTGCTTAAGCTTATTTATTGCCGTTATCAGAAAACACTGGCATACTATGCTGTGAAGATTGCAGTAAACTATACCTAGATTGGCACTGTGGTTGTGGCATTTTTAAAACTGTGATCATAGTAGTGAAAACCTAGTCTGGATTCCTACTTGTTCCTTGTCCTTTGCCCTAATTTGCTTGGCACAATAACAATAAACTGCATGTCACTGCTGCTAAAAGTCAGTGGCAGCCAAAAAAAACATCTGACTGAAACTGAACTACAATAAAAAAAATATACACGACTGAACCTGAACTACAATAAAAATTAGACACGACAAGACAAAAGACTAAACTGGATGAGAAACACTGCCAACTTGTGCATTACCTTATGCATGAGTGGAACACCAGAGTGGAGCAAAGGTCACATGTGATATTAATGAAGTTAAACACATCAGTACTCTATGATGCATCTTATAAATGACACCCAAGTAACTGGTATCATAAAGACTGAACATAATTTTAGTCTCTATGCTTCTTCAACTACAGAAACCCTTGAGGATCCCAACATGACCGCCATACTAGTTCTATATGCTTGCAGGACATTTCACCATCTAAGACGTTTTCTTTCCCATTCTTTGACATGAGGGGTGGACTGTAGTGAAAGTGACTGCAGCTCAGTGCTTTATATTTACGCAAATCCCATTTTTCAGCCTAATTTCTCATTGATTATAAGCATGTCAGGGGTATATAACCTTCGCAACACATGTTTGGAAATCAAAGTATAGGCCAAAGAAATTAGCACCACCAGGGATCTCATGTCAGCAGACACGACAGGCGCCCCAAAGAAAGGCTTTTTCAAACACAAATTATGTTCGAAGTAAGTAGAATACCCAACAGAATAGGCATCTTCAGGAAAATGACCCAAAAGAACACCAAGATTAATCTAAAAGTTCCTCAAAATAATGACTGTCAAAACTAAACCTTGTTTCACAGGAATTTAAATACAGTGATTCACCATAATTTAAAACATTTAGCATACATATATGTTGTATGCAATTATGTGAAATGAATTTAAAATGTTTTAGCAGTGTATGTTATGCTCAAACTTCAATACGTTACTTAAGAAATGGACAAATAAGAGAAACTCTCATAATTAAAATGAATAATTAGGAAAATACAGGCTACATTACTGTCAACACAAATGGACCAAATATAGCCTTATTGGTTAGTGATGACTGCCAGATTTGACTTAATAATCTGTAACCTGGAGAAAGTTCTACTGTTGTCAGGAAATAGTCTGCCCACTTTGACTGCCTATGTCTTACGGGCTTTAATATCCATCGCAGTCTGATGTAATGGCAATACATATATCCACTGTGTTCTTCTGTTTGGAATCAGTCATATTAAGGAGGTGGGGAAGATATCAATAAAATCCAATAAAAACCCATTTTACATTCATGTAACAAAGGGTTAGCTTGTCTCACATTGGTGAGTCAAAAGTACTTTTGAAAATTGGGATAGAACAACAGAACTGGAGACATTCAGAAGAAGCAGTCGTGCTGCCTAGAAATAAGTCTAAAAGGAAACCCAATGATTTCAAATTGTTTATTACAGTGAACTAATGTGGAAGGTGGTCTATACACTGGACAGTACCTACAAAAGTGTTTCAGGGTTAAATAACTAATTAGGGAGAGTCACAGATGTGCACATTTGAAACCTTTAGACTGGAAATAAATATCTACATGGCTATTAAAAGCTGCCTGTGAAGTACCAGTGTTTCTAATTTTAGTCCCATGAATTAGTATGAATAGTTTGAGGTCAGTCACCAGTCCTTTAGAACGTGCCTTTCAATGGCATAAAAATTACCGAGCACCATTAAATATTGATTTGGAATAAGAAACTGTCAGACGCTAAATAAATCAGTGGTTTATTAATAAATTAAGGTCAAATTCAGACTCAACCTGATTTACCCATGACAACTGGAATAGAGGGACAATAAAACTGCTACTATTAAAGATTACTACTAAAAATCCTTTATCACTTTTTTACAGTACTAACAGATTTTGTGGATTTGAATGTACGAAATATGACTCAGTATTGAACTGGAAATGAAGAGAACAGCATTATTTGGTTTAATTTACCACTAAAAGGACAAAATGCTTGCCTGGTTTACAGCAAAGCTCTCCCTTTCAGTGCTGAGGTTAACTTATTTCCTACCCATTAAACCAGATTGTTTCCCTACAATAAAGGGAGCGGCTCACAGATGAGGTCTTCTGTTGTAACTATCTCAAAAATCAGCTGTACCTTCAGTCACATACAGCTGCAACCCTCCTTCTGACAAAAGCCAAAACAGAGGGTCCAAATATTTCTCACAGCTAATCTGGAGGAAAAAAAAACAACAGAATCAGATTAAACCTACCAGAATTTGCCAGCAGATCACAAATCAGCAAATTCCATTCTGCACTTCATTTGTAGTGGTCTTACTGAGTACCAAGTACCACTGAACACAAATCACTATTGGACTTGAAAACCTGAAAACTTGGCTTAGGCAAGCGACCGTGCTGCCCGCTGTTCCCAGATCAGCTAAGCACCCTGCCACGTATTCTGCAGTCTTGGCCATGGAGGAGGAGTCCATTACAGGTTTTTAAGACAGCCTTACCAACTAGATGGGCCGAAGCCAGGACAGCAGCTGTATACCATGTGACCAGCCTTCCCACCAATGAATAATCACCCTGGATACGCTCTCAAGGGAACCCGCAGCCGACCCCAGGCAGCATAGGGCACAAAGCAGGGGTACACCCTGGATGGCACGCCAGTCCATTAGAGCACATAAAGCATGAGCAATTTAGAAACACCAATTAGCCTAACTGCATGTCTTTGAGCTTGAGGTGGGTGGGGTGTGATGTGACCCCTCCCAAACCTGGGGCTGTACTGTAACGGTGCTATCCACTGAGCCGGCACGCTGCTCGGATTCCAGATCGTCTAGAAACAATGGCTTATCTATACGTCAAGACATAACCACCATAAAAACGTAGCAACAACACAGACTATTGAAGGTGATGTTTTGATATACATATAATTTTATTTAAATATCAAGATCATTGTAATTCCCAGTCCCTTCTTGTTTCAAATCCCATTTTAGGTTTTAGCATTAAAAATACGACGATTTTCAAGCCCCCCCCCAGAAGCATTGGCACACAACCTATACAACAGGTCATCTGGCACATTCAGCTCATTCAGTGTTGTGTGTGTCACCATTGTTGTGTTGTGTGTGTGACCATTTGTGAAGGAAAAGCCACAGAAGAGGCTCATCCACACGGGCTACTTCCTGGATGCCTTACCCAGCATCCTTTCATGGGTCCTAGACAATCGAGATCGAGACGAGCGATCTCACGAAATGACAGTCGGGAGCTCGCCAGAGGCCATTGGTTAATCGAATATTCACCATCGTGATAGAAGCCGCAGGGCAGGATCAATAAGAAGATGCAGCCATAAATTTAGAAAGATGTGGGTCTAGCATTAGTCAGTCAGTGACGACATCAAGCCTTACGTCACTGGGGTTTGAAGAAAAAGCTGTGATAGGCCATCATTTTAAGCCCTGTAACTTAAGGGCAGAGTGACTGGCAGAGATGCCAAGCTAATGTCTATAGAACTTCCTCACAATAGAGGCAACTGGAGTACATTTTCCTCAATAAAAGTAGAAGATGGAGTCAAAGATCCTTTGCTGTGACACTTTAGTTACTTTGATCAAATTCAAACGTATTACCAAAACGACGTCGGTCAGAGAGATTTAAAAGAATAACCTTGCAAAAGCAATCACATGTATGATCAACTGGCCGCTTCAATTTATGCCATTAAGGTAAGAAGTAAACACTGGCGGCTATGAACAAACACATGTGATGTATAAGAACACTGTGGAGATGAATAGGACGGCGCCTTATACCAGAAGAATGCAACTACAAAGAAGACTGAGCAAAGTGCTACATTTTTCAAATGCACATTTTGACAATATAACAAAATGATACTGAACTGTCGAGCAGGACCATCGGTCTAATCCTGTGCAAAGATACTGCAAGTGAGCGCAGACACTGGCCCTTTCACAATGATTGATACCGGTCAAGAACATAATGAACTTGGTGCACATATTCAGCTAAGGCCATTGAGAGTCTACTGATGTGTCAAGGTCTTTTCTTAGCTTAAATAGGGCGAACGCCAGGGGGCAGGGAGACCCTACTCTGGTATACATGCCATCAGAGGGCCTCACTTTAGCTAAGTATATTGTTCCCAATCAATAGAATATAAATGGACACAAACCTACATGCATTTTAAAATGGAGGATGAGCTGCACATTATTCAGCAAAAATTCTGAGATCAGCACGTGAAGAATTAAGCTCAACCTTGCACATGGGGCACCGTGGTACAAATTAAGTGGGAACAATGAATGAAGACGAATACCATCTAAAGCTAAAGTCTTGGTCCGAAGCATTAACAGATGAAATCGCACTTCAGTGTATGGAGTCTGAGGCAGCATGGGGGTGGGGGGGTGGTCATTCACATGTTGATGTTATAGTGCAATACAGAGATTGTCAGAGCTGGCCAGAGCAATACAGAGACAATGTCCATGCTTTGCAGGATCACTGAACAGTTTTACCGTATCACGCATTACCTTTGCATATTCATACAATCTTAAGAATGTATCACAGTATAAAGCCATTAAATGACAATTATTTCGCTGAACAGTCAAACAGTGATATGTACCTGTGACCTGTGACCCCCCTCCGCCACCGACCAAAGGGTCGCATCTGCTTGTAGAACCCTGAACGGTGGTGCACACGTCTCTCAGGGATGCTATGTGCTTTATGGATGTACATATTAAATGGACCTTGAGAGAATTCACACCTTCTATGGACCACATAGAGAAAGGTGACTTCAGAGAGCTATTCAGAGAATCTTCTGTAAAGCGAAAGGATTGAGCAGGACAGAATGACTGCCAAAGAAGCTGGGCGTCTGCCTGCGAGTGACTTTACAGTGCTGTCTTTATTTAAGGATGGGGGGAAATTATATCTCTTTTTAAAAAAAAAAAAATGAATGCAACAGTTGGGCAACTCTGATGGCCAAGGCAGCTTTTGCACAAAAGACTGGCTCACATTCCAAGAAAAGAAAAAAAAAAAAAAAAACACTTTGTAGTACTGATATTGAGGAGCGTAAATTTACAACACAACTTATCCCTATGTATGTCCAAAATAGAATAAATAAGGAAAAAAATCTAAAATACATATTCACAAGTGTTCAGCAAGAAACCCTTTCATTTTAATAAATGAGGAAAAATAAATTTCATCATTTCATATTTAGCCCATTACATTTTTCCTGTTCTTAAACTATTAGCATTTTGGCATACATTCCGTCACATCCTTTTCAGTGGTATCGTCTCCCCTGGTTCCTGGTATGGAAAGGCAGTAGGAGATCTTCAAAGGATGTGGATTATCCTTTCATACGATTGGAGACCTTCTGTGCACAACAGGGGGCCAGGAAACAAGACACACTGCACAAGGTTTATCCAGCGGCAGAGGCTGATACCCAGACGGTCTAGGGCCTGAACTGCCAAGTCACATCTTCAAAATAAAGTCTGCTTTTGTTCTCAATAGTGCTTTTGGCCCCAATGGGGGGGGGGGGAATGAATTCTCCCTTCGTGGCATCTTTGATAAGAACTTTCGGAGCAAGTGGAATCCAGACAATGTTTCACCGTCTGGTTTCCATAGAAAGAAAGAGACCCCACACTAATGGCAGTTCTGGAGCTGCTGTTGATCATACTCTGCTATAAGTTTCTTTATATGCGCCAGTTTGTTGTGTAGGTATTCACAGCGGTTCTTCTCTTGACCATAGTTTGGATTAGTCTGAAACAGGAGAGAAACCGTGAGCACTGGCCACAAACCTGCCTAAGCACACACTGCCGCGGTTACGGGAACGTCGCCCGTTTCACTGCTCACCTTTTTAATCTTGTGATACTCCTGAAGTATTTGATTGCGGATTGTCTGGGGAAAGGAAGGAACACATGATGACGTGATTAATTCCCATAACAACCCCCCCCACAGAAATCCAGGAGGGGCCAGGGCTGACCGCGTAGGGCTACCTTGTACTTGTCTGTCCCTTGCTGCAGCTGCTTCAGCTCTGAGTCCAGCACAGTGAACTGCCGTGTGATGCTCTCTATTCTAGCGTGGAGATCCCGGTACTCGTGGTACTCAGCATTGAAATCGTTCTTGTAGCTCTGCCGCTGCTCCTGAGAGGCGATCGCCGTGTACTTCCTGCAGGGACACGGGACAGCAGGGCATGCGGCACACAAAGCCTGTTTAAATCACAGCTGGAGGGCAGGAGTCCATCAGCGCATGCGTCTGGACACCTTGAGGGCTACACAAAATATCCTCATTTTAAACTTTTAAAATCATACCACGTTAAATTACAGAACTCCATCTAGCCTTTGAATTTGGATGAAGACATTAGGGAAAACATACCACAAACATGCATACATACATAGAGTCTTGAGTAAACAGTGACTTTAGAAGAACCTACTATAAAACAGAATAAAATATATATGCATGAAGAAAAAAAAATCTTACGATAAGTAGTCTGCTGTGTCTGTTGACGATGCAGAAATACTACTGTTGCACATCCCATTCACATCTACAAGGAAACCCAAAGTGACTCGTGAGAATTAAATTCAGTATTTACTTTTTAGTGACATTTCAATAAAGCTGATATAAAATACATCAATGGGGTCAAACGAAAGTCATTCTTTAACCAGGCAAACATTGTGGGTTTGTGTACAGAAAATAGTCTGGCACTGGGTATTTTAACAGGCTTCACCACTAGAGGTCACTGTACAACTTACAGAATGACAAACCATTCAACAGCTTGAAATTTCTGATTGTTACTGCCCAGGGAATCCAGGGAATGACGTTATGGGGAATTTGGTTGGTCTTTTTTTATGAGTTTAGCTACCTGCAGACGTCCCGTGTGGAGCACAGTCCTGCGGGCTGCAGGTGCTGCCTGTCATCTCCACCCCACGCTCATCAGCGGCCTTCTCTCTCTCCCTAGACTTCTCCTTGTCCTTGTGCTTTTTGGACTTTTTCTTGGATTTGCCGTGGTGCGAGGCGGCGGCTGCCTCTTCCGGGGGCCCGCCGAGGCCGAGTGGGCTGGGCCGGAATGGGGAGGATCCATGTGCCGGCAGGGGGGCGGCGGCGGAGGCTGTGGGGGCCGGAGGCTGGCCTAGACGTTCCGCCACGGCCACCTCCTGGCCCTCACAGTCCCTCCCGTTGTGGCTGGAGTCGTTGCTGACATCAGACAGCGGGTCGAACGGACGCGGGATTTCTAGGAGCGGCAGCTGGGAGCTGGTGGTCACGCTTTCGCCGCCTATCAAAGAGATCCCGCCCACCTCCTTCCCATTGGAGGAGCTCAGCTTGCCGTTGACGGGTCCTGCCGCCTTACTGGCCAGGTGCGATATCCTGGGCTTCTTATTTGCCAGGGGATCGATGAACTCCGCAGCAGGTCGCTTCTGAGGACGCAAAGCACAACGCAGGAATGCATCACCAGGTTTTACCAGCAATGAACAAATTAAAAAGAAATTAATACATCACACACATGCTACAAAAAATGTGACTGTTCTTAATATCAAGCTAATATCTTTACAAAACAGGCTTCGGTGACTAAAAAAAAGGGCGTTCAGCAATGTGGAACTACCATACCATTCAGAGTTCCTCAAAATGAGAAAAGGCCACTTAGATATTTGGACTTAATCTGTAACCCTACAGTGCCCGACAAAGCAGTGAAGCTTTGTAGTTTATACGTTTATACATAAAAACTCCACAATGACTTTGTACTCCTGAGCTGCCTGCTGTCTGACACTGTGTGTGTGTGTGTGTGTGTGTGTGTGTGTGTGTGCGCGCATGTGGAAAACACCCTGAAAACTGTCATCACCCCTTCCCCCCCCCTCCCCATTTATAGCCTCTTAAAAGGGCATCTGAATGAGACCCACGCAAACAGCAGGGGCTCAAGGGGCAGATGGGAAAGGAAGCTGACTAATGCTATCACAGTCGTGACCCTTTCAGCACACTGGCTCTCATCTCCAGCACGAATATCTGGCACAAACATCAGGACATGCTTGACGACGGCGGCGGATCGGAGCGGAGGGGCGCAGAAGCTCACCTGCGACGGCGAGCAGTGAGCAAGCTCTTTTCCAGGACTCACTGGACTTTCCCCAGGAACACTTGGGTTTGTTTGTGACTGACACAATTTCCTGCAGGAAAAACAGCAGCAAGAGCTGTGGGAAAATGCGCTGCTTGAAACAAAATTGCCCCCCTCTCCAAACAAATAATTTAGAAAATACAGTTTTGACGTTCAAAATACCAAAAACACGGTAAAAAAAAAAAAAAAGGTCACAGTTGTTAAAATTGTACATTTCACCAGTTTTTATTGCCTGATGTTGATGTAATTCACGTTAAGCACCATGCTTGAGAGAAAAAAAAACAGCCGCTTGTGGGACTCAGACTGGACACCATGTAGAGGACTTTAAGTGCTCCATTTTCCTGCTGTTTTTAACAACATAAGCAAGCCGGCTTTCTAAGGCCAGAGGAGACCGGTGTGTAACAGGACAAACTGGCCTGCAGATTTTCTTTTGCACATAGGAGAGAGGAAAAGGCCATCGGGAACCGGCCTGTGAAGAGAAGTTTTATGATCATGACCTGGATTTTAGCCAAATGGCACTGAAGGGCCCAAACAACCTCAGGTTCTGCAGTTGTCAGTATTTACACAACATTAAGCAAAGCAGACAGTACGAAATGTTCCAAAGGCCTGAAGCCCCAAAACAAAAGCCCACAGGGGAGACCTGGCTGTACCAGTGACCCTGTACCAGTGGAAAAACGGGACCAGCACCACTACCTATCCAACAGCACATCAGCTTAATTTATTAAGGTATATGATGAATTGTGACGTTTACCAATCTGAGGGACTCCGCTCTCCTCGATGTACTTTCATTGCGAAAGGTCTTACGCAGTTCATTATATGGAAGAGATGGGCCCAGCAGACAGGGCTTTGAAATTACCTTCAGACCTATGAAAAGCATAATTTCTGTGGGTGAATTTCTTGAAACGAAGACTGCAGAAGAGGAAGGAGGCAACAACACTTCACACTGGAAGGCAAATGACTTGGACTTACAGCTAAAATACACTTGGGGGGGGGGGGGTGTTTAAGAAGACACTGGGTAAACCCCTGGGGAAACAGCAGGGGGTGCTGTGGCCCAGGACTAACCAGCCATGTCACACTGGGGGTCCGCAGTAATGGATAGCTGAAGCTTAGCCTTCTTGGTCCTCTAGCGGATTCTGCCGGGACACATGGCCTGCACACACACGGTTACATCACGGCCGCTCCACCGGATCAGTTTCTGCGTGTCAACTGGCCCAAGTGCAACTAAGCAATGTGTGCTGATAAATCTGTCACAATGCTCAAAGTACAACGAGGCCTGCGGGGGGCGCCGGCATGCAGGGACCTGGGAACATCACTATTACTGCCCAAACAAATGCGTTTAACCGGCTGAGCTTATTTCCATGCTGTCCTAATAATAGCTGCCTCTCCGCCATTCCGGTGCATGAGAAAACAGATTTTTCCGCAGGTCCACGTGGAATGACGCCAGAGCGAGCGGGCGGCACGGGTCAGAGAGGAATGCCAGAGGAACCGCACAAGATGGAGAAGCCGGGAGGGGCGGCACAAAGCTGCCCAACAGGGAGCTCCTCGGACGGGATGATCAGGCACCGGAATGGGGGCCAGATAATAATGCAAATCGAAAGGACAAAAAAAAATCTGTTTGCATGCCACACCATTGTGGAGAACACAGAAAGTGACAACTGACTTTCTCATGTTCCATTGGTCACGTGTGCTGCGTTGTCATTGTCATACAGTACTCTGTGGCACTGGGCGCGCTCAGTGAGACACTAGCATGCATTTGTGCTACTGACTCAGTTATGAAGCATTTACATACTACCACCTGACACGTTAAAAACAGCTCAATGCGATGCACTATTACATAATGTTTAAATGGACCCAATTCAGCTGGCGCAGCAAACTGTGAAGTTCCACAGACAAAACAGTGTGATGGGCTTTGGGTTGTTCCGGGGTGACGGATGAGACAGACATGCTAACTAAATACGGAAGAATGTCATCAGCATTAGAATAGATACATTTAATATTACACACAGGCAACCCCCGCACGTCCATAATGTATTTCGAAAGCTGCAATCAAAAACGCTTTCACTTCAAGCTCACATTGTCGCCATTTTTACCATGAACGTTTCGCCAGTTTACTTGCAGAAGGCCGTCCGCTCCCCACGAACACGAAGCCTGCATAAACAGTGTGTGACAGACTGACGGAATTGCACGATACGCGTTTCGTTCACGTCTCCTTCACATGCTGACATTCTGCTTGCTAATGATTCACGCTGCCTCTTGGAAGCACATGGCTTCGCTTCCCCTCCCTCGCTCACCTCAACCCACCCACCCACCCACCCGGATGGCAAGCACCCCCCATACCGACGTCACCTTCGATGACATCAGACTGGCTCTGACCAGCACGGCAATCAGCACCCACATCGCCACTGTACCGATGCTGCAAGACCAGTCACAAGCAGGAGTGGCACAGGACACCGTGGTTAAGATGTCAGAGATAGAAATCTTCCACATTAATGTTCATTTCCTGCCAAAATGTTCCGGGCAGGAGATGCCACTGAACGGGGGTTCCTGGCTGAACACAGCGTTAGCACCGAGGTTCAGTCATTCCCAGTGTATGAGCTGTAGATGAACCCTGCTAGACGGCCTGGTCGTGCATACAGAGTAGATGTGCTACAGCCGTTTAAACACGCAGGGCACAGCGCACCTCGGATTGCATGCCGGCCAGGTGCTGCATTTCACGCCCTTATTGCAAGGCTTCTCAAAAGACAACTATTACTGTTACTTAGCCGGAACCAACAGGGTAATTGATGGAGTCAAGATCCCTAAATTCCTTTTAAAATAAATAAATAATAAAGAGTTACAAGAGAGATCGATACTCATATCTTTGTGGGGACCGTCCATTTATCTCCATGAGAAAGTCCAAAAATAACAACCTTAACCCTTACCCAGCTCTAACCATAAGTAGCCAAACAAACAAAATAGCCTCTTGGCATGTTTATAGTTTTTTTGATTGCAGTCACCAGTTTTTATAAAATGGTCCCTAAAAGGTAAAAATAAGAGGTTATCACATTGTGGGGACCAAATGTCCCCAAAACATAAGGTATACCTGGACCCCCCCCCCAGACACACACAC